CCTCCAAAGAAGGAGACTCCACCACACTCCTTGGCAGCAAATTCCACTGTCGAACAGCTCTTACTGTCAGGAAGTTCTTCCTAATGTTTAGGTGGAATCTTCTTTCTTGTAGTTTGGATCCATTGCTCCGTGTCCGCTTCTCTGGAGCAGCAGAAAACAACCTTTCTCCCTCCTCTATGTGACATCCTTTTATATATTTGAACATGGCTATCATATCACCCCTTAACCTCCTCTTCTCCAGGCTAAACATGCCCAGCTCCCTTAGCCGTTCCTCATAAAGCATCGTTTCCAGGCCTTTGACCATTTTGGTTGCCCTCCTCTGGACATGTTCCAGTTTGTCAGTGTCCTTCTTGAATTTTGTTAAGCCCTGGCACATCCTATATTGGGTGCAAATGGAAGTTAACAAACTGCACTTTCTCTGGCTTTTGTATTAACTTTTAGGGTCTCACGCACTGTCTGATAAATCCTTGAGAACTCACGCCAGTATCAGAAGGAACCCTGTTATGTGCTTCTAGCTAAGCTTCATGCACCCTGAATTTCAAGACTGCTCTACAGTTCAGCTCCTCTTTCCAAGATGTTATGAACGAGCAATGTTGACAGATCTGATCCTTTTTTGGAAAGAGGGGGGGAAAGCACAGAAGGAAAATTTCCAGGAACTTCAGAAAAAAGGGGGATGCCTCATCAGGCCCTGGGGGATAAGGCAACAAGTAATCATTGATTTACAGCTGTCTTCACTTTTTGCACAAGGTGCGTTTTTGCCATCTGTTATCTATTTAGGAATTTCATCGCACAGACCAAGACAGCTGAGAATAACTGCAGAGCTAAGCCTGTGAATCTGGAGAATTAAGAGATCCTGGGAAAGGAAGGGGTGATGAAGACCACTTGTCAAGGCTACGAAGTGAGCGCTTAAGACTATGTTTTATTCTAGCGCATGTGAGTTGGCTTCCACACCAGTGAAGAATCCTTTTTTATAGGGCGTGTATGCAAGAAAACAGGACGCGGGTGGCACTGTGGGTTAAACCACAGAGCCTAGGACTTACCGATCAGAAGAAAACAAAACACGTACTGCTTGGTTGCAGTGAAACCTTAAACCGGTTTGGAACTTTGGAACTCCTTGCCTAGTGACACCAGCCATTTGCCATCGCTTGTACTGTTTCTGACAGCTGCTAAAAACGTTTCTGTTCAGGCCAGCCTTATCCAGACATGTAGGAGTTGACATGTAATTTGAATGTTTTTAGCTTACTGTTGATTTTAATTATAGTTTGGTTTTTAACACCTGTCTTTTATTGACAATGTTAATGTTCGTTTTAACTTTTTTGTGTGAACTGGAGTGGTGGAGGCAAGGGGAGAACGAGAGCCGCTGTGGGTCTGAAGTGCTGGCTTCCATCTAGGCTGCCAAATCCAAGGCAGATCTCCAGGCTATTTTAAAAGTGCTTTTAGCCCATGGCTAGATCTTGCGCATGCCAAGTCCTCAAGGAGAGGCGCACCTATTGACAGACAGTGCAAGTCCTGTAAGGGAAGCAAAAGGTCGTCCAACTTGGAATGGAGAAATCTCACAGCAGACCTTGGGGCATCGAGGGGTTTTTTGGTGCTTTTGGCAGGAAGTTCCAGCACGCAGGCAGGAGTGCTCCGGAGGCAGGGATGCTTTTGTAAGCTCTCAGCCAAAATTAAACTCCTTCCATCCATCTGGAAATAATGAGGAACTCCGCACTCTGAATTCTTGCCATTCCAGTATAAGGTTTAATGTCATAATTTCATGTTAAGCTCCTATTTTCTGGAGAAACTCGCTTCCTTTGAGCATACGATTTTCAAGGCAGATGAAAGGCTCTCTCGGTTTAAAATACAAACCATCCCTTGGGACGATTTCGGGGGAGAGAGGGGGAAATGTTGTTGTTTCTACTCCATGAATAATATTGGCTTTGCCCAGAAGTGTTCGCAGCATAGCTAATCTGGAGGTTCCCCCCTTGGCATAAACACAATAGAAGTGGTGTTTACAAATCAAGATACTTTCCCCACGTTTGTGACATTGTTAATTAATGCTTTTCAGAACTCAAAATAAGAGGCAATATTCTCCTGCCCTCTGGAACACTCTTGCACACCATACACACACACACACACACACACACACATATATATAAATATATATATATACACATACACATACATACATACAGTGGTACCTCAGGTTACATACGCTTCAGGTTACATACGCTTCAGGTTAGACTCCGCTAACCCAGAAATAGTGCTTCAGGTTAAGAACTTTGCTTCAGGGTGAGAACAGAAATCGTGCTCTGGCGGCGCAGCAGCAGCGGGAGGCCCCATTAGCTAAAGTGGTGCTTCAGGTTAAGAACAGTTTCAGGTTAAGAACGGACCTCCGGAACGAATTAAGTACTTAACCCGAGGTACCACTGTATATATATATATATGTGTGTGTGTGATTTTCCAATATCATTCCAATAGCAGCCTCATCACAACAATACCAATTTTATCCAATACTGGCCACAATATCTTGGTGCCAACCACATTCATTTCATGCAGGTATGAGCAGTGGCAGGACAATACTTCTGTCTGACCTACCTTACAGAATTGCTGTAAGGATTATTAAGATCATGTATATGAAAAGCTTTGAGCGTGCTCCCCGATTAAATTCCAAGTATGCTTCCACCCTCTGTTCCAGTGCAGCATCTCTTGCGACAAAGCCTTTTCTACAGGGGTCCTGAACTCTCTCCCTGGGGAAGTGCAGCCTGCCCTTTCGCTGCTAGCTTTCTAGGGGCGGGGGGCAGGCTGTATATTTTCCCCAAATCTTTTTAAGCCTGCTGACTGTGGAGTAGACTTTTTTCCATTTGTCATTAGGCTACCCTTCAGCTCCCTCTTGTGATTTTGGCTTTGCTGCTTATTTGATGGTTGCTGCTTAATTTTTTTAAGTTTGCTGTCTTCAATTGCTGCATTTCTTTTTGTCACCCACCATGAAGGCCCTTTGGCACAAAAGGAGGAATATAAATATTTTAATGAATAAAAGTATTAGGAACACTACTGTATTTTTTGCTCTATAGGACTCACTTTTTCCCCTCCAAAAATTGAGGGGAAATGTGTGTGCGTCCTATGGAGAGAATGCAGGCTCCTTGGCTTCAGCGATAGCAAAGCGAAGCCTCCGAAGCGCAGAGGGAGCGCTTCCTCCGTACTCTGGAGGCTTCGCATTGCTTTCGCTGAAGCCTGGAGAGCGAGAGGCGTCAGTGCGCACCGACCCCTCTCGCTCTCCAGGCTTCAGGGATAGCCGTCTGAAGGCCTTCGGAGCGCAGCGCAAGTTCCCACTGCGTTCTGGAGGCTTCAGATTCCTTTCGCTGAAGCCAGGAGAGTCTTGCTCTCCCGGCTTCAGCAAAAGGAACCCGAAGCCTGAGGAGCGCAGCAGGAACTTGCGCTGCGCTCGGAAGTCTTTAGGGATAGCCGCCCGCGCACAGCCCCTCTGGCAGGGAGGTTGCGCGCAGCCTGTACGCTGCTCTTTGAGGCTGCGGGGGAAATAATATTTTTTTTCTTGATTTCCCCCTCTAAAAACTACGTGCACCCTATGGTCCAGTGCGCCCTATGGAGAGAAAAATATGGTAATTCTCGGGCGATTCTTTCCCCTTTGTCTTGCTTTGAGGTTCAGGGTGGCTGCTCGGCCTCTATTTTAATAAAATCTTCTCCCAGACACCACATTACTTTCTCCAATGGCACCCAATTCTCCCTTAACATAGTTCCTTCTGTTCTCTTCTTTAAAACTGACTCAAAATACATATTCCATTTTTGGGCTATACAATTTCAGCCATGTAAATTAGGGGAAGGTCTCAGTGGCAGAGCATCCACTTTGCATGCCAGTTCAATCCCTGGCATCTCCAGATAGGGCTGAGACAAAACGTCTGTCCCGAAACTCTGGAGAGCTGTAGACAGATGAGCTAGATGATCTGACTCACCATAAGGCAGCTTCCTATGTTCCTAGTCCCTAGTTTTCTAAACTTCAATGAATGTGGTGTTTGGACCAAATCAAACTCAGAAGGTTTTGAAGCGATGCAGTCCTAGTTTTGCAACAGACCAGCCTCCCCGAAACTGGTGTCCTCTAAATGTTTCAGATCGCAGCTCCCAAAAGATCTAGCCTGCGCCGATTCAAGCTGGCTGATCTTCTAGATACTGTCTAATTGCCTTCCTTGAAAGTGCTCCCATAGAAAGAGACCCCTTCATATAGAATCATACAAGCTGGAAGGGACCCCAGGGGTCATTTAAATGACCGTCCAACCTCTACTTAAAAACCTCCAAGGAAGGAGTGTCCACAACCTCACGAGGAAGTCCATTCCACTGACAAACAGCTCTTACTGTCAATAAGAATTCTTGGTGTTTAGTTGGAATCTCCTTTCTTATAACTTGAAGCCAACTACCTCCCTCCAGAGCAGGAAAAAACAAGCTTGCGCCATCTTCCATGTGACAGCCCTTCAGATAGTTGAAGAGCGGTGGACTCGTAATCTGGTGAACCGGGTTCGCTTCCCTGCTCCTCCACATGCAGCTGCTGGGTGACCTTGGGCTAGTCACACTTCTCTGAAATCTCTCTGACTTACTCACCTCACAGAGTGTTTGTTGTGGGGGAGAAAGGGGAAGGAGAATGTTAGCCGCTTTGAGACTCCTTAGGGTAGTGATAAAACGGGATGTCAAAGCCAAACTCTAGTTCTTCATCATCCTATCTCCTCTCAGTCTCCTCTTTTCCAGGCTAAACATACCCAGCTCCTTTGACCATTCCTCATAAGGCTTTCCTTACATACATACATAAGGTTTCCAGACCCTTGATCATCTTAGTTGCTCTCCTCTGCTGCGGAAAGCTTCTAATCCTGCTTTCTTCTCCACCACCCCAGTCCCCGAACCACCTTCTCCTTGATGTGTAACATTTTCAAAAGCACGGAGGTATTGAGAAACTAGAGGTATCCCCCCCAAACCTAGTTACATGTGAATTCTGAAGTGCCATAGACGTATGACAGGACTGTACCATGTCAATTTAATACATATGGTTTGAATTAGGTCTGTATTGACATTAAGGATGATTCATAAAATGGGAACTTTATCATTAATTGCACTGAAGTATAAAACGATACATATTTTACAGTTCAGTTATGAAGTCAGGACACGTTGGCAAGGCAGAGTAATTTCACCATCATATTTTACTCCTCTGTTGAACTGTAAATTGTCTCATACGGCAGGCTTTAATCAAACTTAAGACCAGGCCTGGTTTCGATCTGCAAATCTAAGCACTCTGGAAGAAGGTTGAAGAGAGTTTGCAAGCTGTTTCTGTGAAACTGACAGTAACAGGTGTAGAAAGATTTCAGCAATTTTCAACCAACGTTCTGAGAAGACCACCTGTCTTGCTGGATTTTAGCCATAACGATTCCACATTTTGACACGAGACACATGATTATTCACTAATCGGCAAGGAGCAATTCACAAATGATCTTCACAAGCTGCAATCTCCACTAGGCCCCATTATGCGCCTAAGACCAGATCTAGGCAATGTTAACACAATGCCATTGGGCTCCGAGTTTCCTCGCTTGATTTCGTTAGCTACTGCATGCAGGAATTTAAAAAAAAAAAATGGGAGAGAGGAAGAACTGTGGAAATCCTCCATCTTCTCTAGCTCCAGAATAAGTTTGCAGGATCACAAAGCCTGCTTTGGTGAATGAAGAGGTAATTGGTTGGGAGTTTGGTTTGTGGTGGTTTTCAAAGCCCCAGACAGTCTCTTTCTGGCATCCAATTGAGTGATTTTGCTTTAGACGTAGCCGGAAATGATCATTTGGGCTGCTGCAAAGGTGGCAGGGATTATTTCACTGATGAATCCAATCATAAATGATCATTACTAAACTGACAGTACCAAACAAGAGGCCAAGAACTAGCAGTGCACATGCCTGTGAAGAAAATCACACAAACAGTTTAATCCTAAGCAGGAGAAACCAATTATTTACTCTTCTGTTACACATACAGAGTGGTGGACAGAAAATCGTTTTACCTCTTAGGTGGTAGAGGCTTTTAATAATAATAATAATTTATATCCCGCCCTCCCCAGCCGAAGCCGGGCTCAGGGCAGCTAACAACAATAAAATAGTACAACATTCTAAAATCATTCATTATAAAATTAATTCAAATCAAATTGATGGCAACCATTGGGCTAGAGATTCTGTGAAGATTTAAACAGTTTAAATCAAAACAAACAGGATAAAAACCTCTCCTTGGTATGCAGACATCACTGAGAATAAGACATCTATTCACAAAAACTGCACTTGTGGGTTAGGAAACGATTACACCAAGGAATTTGCCCTTTCAACTGGGTAAGGCTGCAGTGACCTCCAAGACAGTAATGGCTAGACATAACTGCATATTGGTTGGGGGCCTTCAGAGTTATGATCCTAAACTCCTTGAAATGGCACAAGTCAGAGAGGGCCATGTGCTTTAGCAACTGCTTTAAACAATTGCTTTAAGTACCTTCCACGTTAGCATTCCAAAACTAAGAACTTAGCTCGGCATCTTACCCCAAGCTTCTGTCTCGATATAAAATCCTCTGTGCTAATCTTCAGATAAAACAGCCCAGGGTATACAAAGAGCAAGCAGGTGGATGTGGTTGAGCCTTTAAAAAGATGGGGAGGGGGAGTTATTTAGTCACGGCGAGGCTTGCATGCAGATTTTTTTTAGACTATAGGATTGGGGAAGATGAAAGCACACAAACTTACCAACCACTCCAAAAAGGTGTCTGATGTCAGGCACATACATGGCAATCAAGAAAACTGTCGCATTGAGTGCCAAAGTGACAAGAATGTGGCAGGTCAGGGAGAAAGGAAGATGTGAAAAAAACACCATCATCACAGCCTTCCTCGCCTGCGGAATTCAAAGGAGAAAAATAAAAGCATATCAGACCAGTAATAAATAAATCTTGACGTTCATTGGGTGGAATTCAACGTAGCGCTAAAAGGGGTATTGCATGCATGGAACGAGGTCCACTCGCACAATGCAACTTCCCTGTGCACTCCTTAAACCTGTTCTGGGTCTCCCCCACCCCCAGTGTACATTTAGGGGAGGCAGGAGGAATAGCGGGCAAGGCCTGCCGTGCAAGTGGACCTTGCTCCACACTTAACAACTTAATTTAATCCCATCCATTACTGAATCCCAGCAAAGCAAAGCAAAGCAAAGCAAAGCAAAGCAAAGCAAAGCAAAGCAAAGCAAAGCAAAGCAAAGCAAAGCAAAGCAAAGCAAAAAATTGGCATCTGGATTGTTGCTCACCAAAGACTGTTGATTTGCACTAAGGACCGATATCTTAACACATTACACATAAATTGTGTGGGAGCCATGATTAGCTGCAATTCCCTGCTGGGTACATACTAGGTTGTAAACAGAGGCAAGGGCGATTTGCCGGGGTGGGGTGGGGGGACATCACATGTGGAACTTCAGGACGTTGGGAGGAGCTAAGCACAGTGGCAACTTCAATGGCCAGTGGCTCCTCCGCCTGCCGCTGCCAGCGGAAGTGACCTTCCTTCATCTTTGTGGCAGGAGGAGAGGAAGGAGTCGATCCCTGAAGCCATGCTGTGCTCTGCTCTGCATTCAACCTCCTCCACCCGCTGATTTTTTTGGGACACTCGGGGGGGGGGGCCTGGCACCCTCCCAAAATAATGGGGGGGGCAAAGGGCACAGCGCCCAGGAGTTGGCACCCCTGGTGGGAATCCTGGACTTGTTACTACATAATGTGTGAACTGGCCATAAGACCACTTGCACTCTTCTTGCTCAAGAGTGTTTCCTTATCTGCTTTTCCAAACAACGGGGGGAAAGGGGGGGGGAACAGCTTTCAGGAGTCTGAATAAGTAGTAATGCACAGCATTTCCCTCGGCTGATACTCTAATCAAATGTGCAGCCACCTCCCATAAACGCTATTCATTTTTTTAAAGAGGTTTGGAGCCAATGTTATATACCTCTGTGTGACATCTAGTTTGGCCCTAATACAGCGGGGGATTTCAGAAATGGCTGTGGCCAGCAGCAGTTTTGTGGTTTTCTACAATCCCTGTTAAAAACGTAAAGTAAACTCCATGTCAGGAAGATCTGTTTTGAGCTTGCTTGCAGGAAATCATTAGCAAAGGCCACTTCTTGCTGACTCCTATTTACATTAAAATGCACGCTTGCTTGAAAACCAAATATGAAGAAAACAGAAACAAAACAAAAAAAATCAAACCAAATAAACTTTAGGAACGCCACATTCTGCAAACTGCAAGCAATGCTGTGAGTCAGCTCAGATCTAAAACTCGTTAGAAAAGAAGAAGAAAGAAAGAAAGCACAAATTAGCTTAGCGGTTTAGGCCTTGTTCCTTTGCCGCTGTTAACGGACATACACAAGCACAGCACTCTGATCCACCGCAAGACAAATGGATGAGACAGCCAAGACTAGGATGGCGGGGCCTGCAAATAATTAAGGGAGCCACTTTTGCTGGGCCAGCAATCAGGTCTTTTGCAATACTTACAGGGAAGTGGATTAGGGGCACCGTCAGCAGCACCGCAAAGAGGATGCCCAGTTTTACAGTCATGATTACAGTGTCATGGGGCAGGTACGTGCTGTATCCTTGCAGCAATTCTGAGTCCACATGGTCTGAAATTTTGGAGGGGAAAGGTTATTAAAATTGGAAGCCACAATCTGAATTGGACCCCACCCATACAATAAACAGCAGGCTCGTGCTTTTGCAGGGGTTCTTAAACTGTTCGGAGATTGCTGGCAAGTAAGCAGGGGTTCTTAAGGTGAAGCTTAGTCAGAGTATACAAGCTTCCCTGAAAAAGTGCCCACTACTGTTTTAAACCTGCAAAAAGCAATTGCAGAAAAGATATTGGCACATTTTAGAGACTTGTTCAAACGGATGGCAGCCCCAGCCCCACTGTTAAGACAGTGTTAAACCTAGTGGGTCACACGATTGCACAGACCTGCGCCATCACTTATGAAGAAACAGGAATTAATACTTTAAAAACGTACCATAAAAAGTGAGGTATCCAAATAGCGCTGACACAAAATAAACCAGAAAGCTCAGGCTAATCCCAGTGTTGGCTACCTTCTGCATCCTGTTTTTGGATGGACTACAAACACACAGAGAAAAATAAGACATTATTTAAGACTTTAGGAGGAGGAGTATGAAAATGCAGTAAAGAAGTTGCTATTGACTGTTTCACATCTTCCCAATGCACATATGAAACAGGTTTCTGGGCTGGCCTACCACTAAAACCGTGAAACAATTCTGAATCTTCAGGGGATTGAAAACTGTCAAATCTTAATTAGTAACGTGCACACTTTCAAGTTCTCAAGAACTCTTTATCAGGGAAGATGTTATACAAAGCGGGGCGGGGAGGAAGGAGAACAAAACAAAAATAACAATAACAAAACTGCCTGCATCCAGACTTAGATTGAAGAGGGAGAGTACAGACAGTCTCTGCTAGATCCTGCAGGTCTCAGGACACACCTAGAAACGATGGCTGACAGGTAATTTTTTGAAACATAGGACTGGATGCAGTTAACAAGACCCACCAGCAGAAGCCAATGCAAGTTTTTCCACTAGTGCAATGGGGCTTTCTCCTCTCTCCCCCCCATTGGCCCTGGGGGTGGGGCGCAAGATAACCCTCAGAACAGTGGGGTGGGGAGAGAGAGGGAATTGCTCTGTCTGTTAAGCTGAAATGCTTATGCCGAGGGAATGATTGCTATAGTGCTACGTTGAATACCTCCCAGAAAGTCTACCAATTACGCAGATATGTTTCCAGCCTTAAGTGAAATACGTTGGTCCCTTGCTGGGCAGAGAGCAGAAGTAAAGAGAGACAAGGCAGGCTTTGTGTTAGCATAGCTAGAGATTTAAGTTAAAGGTAAAGGTAAAGGGACCCCTGACCATTAGGTCCAGTTGTGACTGACTCTGGGGTTGCGTGCTCATCTCGCTCTATAGGCCAAGGGAGCCGGCGTTTGTCCGCAGACAGTTTTTTCCGGGTCATGTGGCCAGCATGACTAAGCCGCTTCTGGTGAACCAGAGCAGCACACAGAAACGCCGTTTACCTTCCCGACGGAGTGGTACCTATTGATCTACTTGCACTTTGACGTGCTTTCAAACTGCTAGGTTGGCAGGAGCAGGGACCGAGCAACAGGAGCTCACCCCGTTGCGGGGATTCAAACTGCTGACCTTCTGATCGGCAAGTCCTAGGCTCTGTGGTTTAACCCACAAGTTAGGTGATGTTTTATTCAAATAAGGCAACAAATGGGGAGATGTACCTACTGGTGGGAGAGAATGTAACCCTCAAAAAGCCAAGTCCCTGTTCAAAAACATCTGCCTTGGATCTGAACTGATTTTATGTGTGTGTTGTTGGTTTTACGCTGTACACACACACATGCAACTGCTTTGACAGGTTTTAAATATGCAACTGCCATAGGTAAATTGCTTCGAGATATCTCATGGGAAGCAATTCATAAATGAAGTAGTAGCCCAACAATATCTGGCGACTCAAGGTTAGGGAAGACAGCTTACTGGTCCAGTGTATTGGGAGAATCAGACATATAATAAATTTGGCATTCCTTTTGGACATGAACACTAAATGAATCAGGAAACTTATGTTCTGAGAATGGCAGCAGTTACAGCCAACAACAATTTTTTTAAAAAATGATACGCGTTTACAAATCACATGTTACCTTTGGAGCTCGCAATAAATTGGCAATACTGATGTATGGCAGAGAAATGAGAAAGCCATCGTTGGAATGGCATATGCACTCTGCCAAAAAAAGAAAAGAAAAACAGAAGAAAAGTCACGCTGCTGAAATGCAACCTATAAATATTTGATACTCATTTCTATAACCTTCCTGGGTGGAATCTAGACACACATTTAAAATGTTGTGAAAATCCTTAAAAAAAAAAAAGTTGTGGAAAAAAATTTTATGTTATATTTTGTTGTTACATACACCCTGGGCATTTTTTATGGGAAGGTAGGATACAAATGTTTATAATAAAATAAGAGCTGGGTTGTACAGCTTCTCAAAGGGCTGCTGAGGAAGGACCACAGCTGAGTGGAAGAGCAACTGCTGTGCATGCAAACAGTTGCAGATTCACTCCCTGGCATCTCCAGGTAGGCCTGGGAATGTCCCATCTGAAACTATTCTGCAGAGCCACCGCCAGTCAGGGTAGACAGTGCTAGATGGACAATGGCCTGATTCTAAATTAATCCTTTGTTTTAGCCATATGCCGACAGGGCTTTGAACATTTAAATTCCACACTCATATTATTTTTATCACCAGAGCAGGGTGCAACACACACGAGGAGACACACAAACTGAGAAACCCTGGCTTAGCCCGATGCTTAAATACATTTTTGCAAACTCTTGTGATCTGTTAAGAGGTTGATTTAAGATTACCTCTGCAGAAAAGTTAAACAGCGCTGCTTTACAATCTTCAGTAGAATTTGAGGCCTGTGTAGGACACAGAGGCAAGAAATGAGACTCATCGGCTGGCTTCCCACCCCATAATTTTATAACAAATACTCTGAAATCCAGTGACTGACTGCGTAACTCCAGCTCACAGTAACATTGCTTCGACACTTATGCACCACCAGTTGTGCACCTTCACTACACCGCAACCCAAAACACATCAGAAATGGTTGCAAATGTGTGTATGGATGCTTCCTTAACCTCCCGCTTATCCCTAGACAAGCTACTATGGAGGAAGTCATCCTTCCATTATAAGAGGCACAACTTTCTTTGCAAATCACTCAGTGCAAGCATGTCAGCATAAGAACATAACAAGAACCCTGCTGGATCAGGCTGGTGAAACAACCCCCCCCCCCCCGTGTCACCATCCTGTTCTCACAGTGGCCAACCCAAAGCCCATGAGATGCCTTCAACTGCACTCTCCCTTCCTGTGGTTTCCAGCAACTGGTATTCAGAAGCATTTCTGCCTTTGACAGTGTAGGCAGAACATGGCCATCAGCACCCATGAATTTGTCTAATCCTCTTTTAAAGCCATCCATTCAGGGTTATATAAACTTCTGTATGGACTTCTCATAACAGACAAATGTATGCCTCCAGAATAGCCTGCACCCAGATGTCTGTCATTTACTATTTTCTGACATTTATACCGTGCCGTTCTTCCAACATGGAACTCAAGGTGATATACATGGTTCCCAGGTAGTTGCCCATCCATACACCAAACCTGCTTAGCTTCAGCAAGGAGCTGACATTATTGGACACATACTATGCACTGGGACTTCAAGTCTTTCTGGAACCTGAAGCTGTGCAACGTTCAGGAGTGGAGGGCACAGACATTTCCTACAGTGCCGCTAATATGTTATTTTTCACAAATACGTCACAGTCATAAAATAAGAGCCTTGGATATGACGACTATAATTGCTGTATGGATCCGAAGATCCCACCGCATCAGTGTAAGGCATTTCTGCTGTTGCTGTGCAATTTCAAACAACGAAAAATAATTGACCAACTTGCCACTTTACAGTTAAATGTGGTAAGCTCTTTTGCAATCAAAGAATTACAGATAAGTCAGGAAAGGTGCATACCTGGGAGAACCCCATAGCAAGCTTTGGTGGCAGAGGGCAAGGAATGGACCACTTTTTAATTATGACCTGCAGAGAAAGAATACAGTTAATACTTTGCAGACAATGGGCAGGATTCAACTAAGTTGTTGCATGCACAGAATAAGGTCCACTCACATGCTCTGGAGCAGGCATCCCCAAACTCAGCCCTCCAGATGTTTTGGGACTACAACTCCCTTCACCCCTAGCTAATAGGACCACTGGTCAGGGATGGTGGGAATTGTAGTCCCAAAACATCTGGAGGGTCGAGTTTGGGGGTGCCTGCTCTGGAGGGTTGGGGAGGAATCCAGAACAGGTTTAGGGGGTGCAGGGGGGGTGGAAGGGTGGCAAAAGTCTTATTGTGCAAGCAGACTTCATTCCCAGTGTGCATATTCTGCTCTGCGCTATGCTGAATTGTATCCTGAGGTAGGCAGAAGTATAGCTAAGTCACACCTTAGCTCTAAAATGTAGCAATAAGCAGTGGAAATAATGACTTGTCCAGAGAGCAAGACTGGAGATCTAAAACAATGGTGCTCCATTAGGGAACAGAATGCTGGGCTCTCTACGCATTATTCTAATATGCTAGTAACTCTAAAGCACTTTTAGAGCACAGCTCTGTCATTCTTAGATCATATGTACAGTGGTGCCTCGCAAGACGAAATTAATCCGTTCCACGAGAGTCTTCGTCTAGCGGTTTTTTCGTCTTGCGAAGCAAGCCCATTGACGGATTAGCGCTATTAGCGCTATTAGCGGTTTAGCGGCTATTAAAGGCTTAAAGGCTTAGGGGATTAGCTGCTAAAAGGCTATTAAAGGCTATTAAAGGCTTAGCAGATTAGATAAAGGAGGAAAGCGAAAAAAATCTCAAGACTCGCAAGGTATTTTCGTCTTGCGAAGCAAGCCCATAGGGGAATTCGTCCTGCGAAGCAACTTCAAAACGGAAAACCCTTTCGTCTAGCGGTTTTTCCGTCTTGCGAGGCATTCGTCTTGCGGGGCACCACTGTACTCTCAACAACCCTGCAAGGTAGCTTATTGTTACTCCCGTAATAAAGATGGGAAGCAGGCTGCCAAAGATCTCCCAGGTGGGATTTCAACCCGCCTGATGGTCTCTCAGGGCTAAGCCCATTTCTGTAGCCAATATACAGTGTCTCTCTCTCTCTCATTCTCTCTCTCCCTCCCTCCCTCTCTTAGTGGCAATAATCTGAACAGATGGCTCGCCCTAGAAACCAATCACAGAAAATTACAGTAAATGTAAAAGTATTGCTTCCATATGCCTGGTGAAGATTTCCCCTCCGGAACACATTAAAGTGTATCTGCTTGTGACAGCAACAGATGATATGCAAACCGCCGTGTGCATTTCAACATGACATTTTTCCATCTTCAAAAAGCAAAACAAAAAACACCAACTAGTTTGGAAAACTGAACTGCATTTAATACACCTTCCAGTATTTCAGTGCGGCAAATGGAAATTTTATATAGATGTGGATTTCCAAGCAGCAGCGTAATATATAATGATAAAAAACGTTTATATGGTGGGTGGGGGCCCTTACTTGGCTCCTGATGTGCCACATCGACACTTTAGGATACACAAAATGGCCCTGACTCATTGGGGCCAGAGATAACTTTCTGCATCCGTTTATGGCTCAATGGAGATGGAGACTGAAGATCACCTTGAAGAACGTAATTTTCTTAAAATCTAAAGCTCCCCCCCACCCCCATTTGTAGGTATGGCCTCACTGGTTTGCACAAAGGAGTGTGAATAAGGAGCACTGGATTAATTTCAGATACTAATAAAAATGCTACATTAAATTCTAAGCAATAAATACAGGCAGATACAAGATCGAACTCCATGCAGACGCATGATTGCTTGAAGAACACGTGTCTCACTTTACGTTTAAGGTCAGCAACCTTGGGCTCATTCTCTTAGGGGTAAGTTTTCACTGAACTCTGTGGGATTCACTTCCGAGCAATGATTGATAAGGTTGAACTGTATTCAATAGCATTTGTGGTCTTGATAGTACACTCTGCTCTTTCGTCTCTCGCCCATTCCTTCCTGCAATCTTCATTCTTCATCCTCCATGTTTACTCTTTCCTCTGCCACATGCACACGATCACACCTTTTTAGGCTGCATTAATTCATCATCCTGGAAGAGCTGCCAAACAGGAGTGAACAAATATCGTTGCCAGGCTGCAGGTGGTGAGCTCCTTCCCCCACACCCCCAGTCTAGCAACTGCCTGTCTCACTATGAAATGAGAGATGGATGTTATCTCCGATCTTCTGCTGGGCTTCTGCTTCCCAGTGACTCTGAAGCTCAGCATATGAAAGATGAGACCCTGCCCCTCTCCTGGGTCCTCTGTGCAGGGGAGTATAGCAGAGGTGGTGGCAATCGCAAGTAAGGGCTAGCTGGCAAGGCCAGCCAAAATGTGTGGACCCCCCTCCCTCCCCTGTGTCTAATCCAGTTCTATACTGAAGCCAAATGCATCGTATGGCTGCAGTCCTAAACCCACTCACTAGGGAGAAAGCCCTGTTGAGCAAAGTGAAACCTACTTCCAAGCAAATGTGTATATGATGCCTTTGTACCATGCCCAGTCGTGCAAGGAGGGAACCCCTTTTAAGCTTCAAGGAACACAAGGTTCGTAAGGAATGCAAAGGCTAAGGCTGCAGTTCTATGAACTCTTAGAAACATAGAGCTGGAAGGGACCACATGGATCGCCTAGTCCAGCATGTCCAACTCCCTAGAGACTGCAATCTACTCCCTCTAAAACATAACTGGCAGTGATCTACCCATTGGATTGACCAAAGTTGTTGAGCTGTTTGTGGGGAGCAGTCCCATGGACTGCAAGAAGATCAAACCTCTCCATTCTGAAGGAAATCAGCCCTGAGTGCTCACTGGAAGGACAGATTGTGAAGCTGAGGCTCCAAGACTTTGGCCACCTCATGAGAAGAGAAGACTCCCTGGAAAAGACCCTGATGTTGGGAAAGATAGAGGGCGCAAGAAGAAGGGGACGACAGAGGACGAGATGGTTGGACAGTGTTCTCAAAGCTACCAACGTGAGTTTGACCAAACTGCGCGAGGCAGTGGAAGACAGAAGTGCCTGGTGTGCTCTGGTCCATGGGGTCAGGAAGAGTTGGACACGACTAAACGACTAAACAACAACAACAACAATTCATCAAAGTTGTTGAACAATCAACCACGATCAACCAGGGACGCCCCACGATCGACCGGTAGATCGCGATTGACCAGTTGGACATGCCTGGTTTAGTCCAACCCCTTGCAATGCAGGAATTTTTCGGCCAACATGGGGAACGAATCCATAAGCCTGGGATTTCAAGGGTCTCATGCTCCACCACCGACTGAGCTATCCTTCTTAACTGAGAATAAGACCGATAAGAGCACAATGGGACTTTCACAGAAGCATACATGGGATCAATAAAAAAGGAACCTTGGAATGCAAACAGCAAACCTGCCTCCAGTGCCATATATTTAAGTCGCTTTTGAAACAGAGAGGAGTCTGAAAAACAGACTGACATGGAAAAATGGCTTGTTGTTCTAAGTTTAAAAACTCAAAACAAAACGAAAACACAACCCACTGGGAGAGCTCAAGGAGATGAAACATGATGGGCGTAAGTAGACCAAAGTCCATATTACTGAATGGGGATTCAGTTAAGAGGAGGCTGATGCTGAAGATTACCATCTCCTAGACCTCTACAGCGTATTTTGGAATTCTTGACAGACACTGCCCTTAGGGAGCTGCTTCGACAGCTTTGAAGTCTGATGTTATCACATGGTTCAGTTCCTTAATGGGTTGGTTGTCTTGCACTCTGGATGGCATTTTTTATTTTTTGCTGGATGTCCTATACATGATTTTTATCTTCTTAAAAAAAACTAAGAAGAAAATTGGTCCATGTTATCAAAGACCTGCACGCAAGTCAATGCAAGCTAAGGGCATTCCTTATGCTGCTAAAATAACAACACTGAACTCTTAGCACAGAAGGCTTAGGAGCAAGGCAGTTCAGCTCCTATTAAGTGCAGGCATTATTTCATTCATTCATTTACATTCATTTCTTCCCCAATCGATCCACAGGGGAGGTAGAGGGCTTTTAAAAGAAAGGGGAGGGGGTAACAGAATAAAGCACCCAATTAAGTAACACACACACACATACACACACACACACACACACACACACACACACACACAAACACACATATCAGCCTTTGTTTTAAGTGTAAAAATGCCTTCTGAAATTAAAAAGTATGTTCTCTACAGCGACAGGGCACATGGCACCTCATTACCATGTTGCTCCTTAATTTGAGCCATTAAAAGACAGCCAATCTTCTCCCCTCCCCCAGCAAAAGAAGAAAGAAAACCACAGTAAGTCAAAACAGCAAGTCCAGACCACTCAGCAGGTGGTGATTAATCTCATCCTGGGCCTTAGGCTAGATACCCCAAAGGGAAGAGGAGGGGAGAGGCCATTTGTTAGGGGCTTGTTTACTTTTGGAGAGTCCCAAAATAATGGGGGCAAGGCAGCTGACCTTCGCATTCAAGAGCCTGCGCAGCTGCACAGCGACTTGAGAGATGGTGCACAGGCAGCCAGTCTTGTACAAAACTTGGTTTAATCACAAGGCTCAAACTTACACAGAGGACAAAGAAGAGGAAGAAAAGTGTGCCACGCACAAAAAGATGTGAGGGGTGAGGAACAAAGCCACTATTTCACAACTGCTGATGGACCCGCTTTCATCCAGACTGCCATGTGAAAATATTCATGTGTTCCGCTCTTATCCAATTCAATTAAACAGAAGCATATTCCTCTGCAGGTAGGGGAATTCCGAGCACATCAGAACTCCCATGTTTGCAATAAATTGCTGGACGTCTCTGAATTTTTAATACAGTGGTGCCCCGCAAGACGAATGCCTCGCAAGACGGAAAACCCGCTAGACGAAAGGGTTTTCCGTTTTGGAGGTGCTTCGCAAAACGAATTTCCTATGTGCTTGCTTCGCAAGACGAAAATGTCTTGCGAGTTCCTGCGGGTTTTTTTCCTTCCCCCCCCCTTTTTCCCAAGCCGCTAAACCGCTTATCAGCTGATGCTAAGCCGCTTATCAGCTGATCGTTAAGCCGCTTATCAGCTGATCGTTAAGCCGCTTATCAGCTGATCGTTAAGCCGCTTATCAGCTGATCTTTAAGCCGGCTAAGCCGCTAATACCGCTAAACCTCTAATGGGCTTGCTTCGCAAGACGAAAAAACCCGCAAGACGAAGAGACTCGCGGAACGGATTCTTTTCGTCTTGCGAGGCACCACTGTATTATTATTATTAATCATATTTGTATCTCACCCTTTCTCCAAGAAGTTCAAAGCAGGAGATTTACCCATTTTTAGCACCTTAGGTTAGGATGATAAATAGCGACCAGCCTAGAGATTTGAATCCAAGTCTCCCAGGTCCAAGTTCAGTGCTCTTACTATGCCGCACTGCACAATGCCTTACAAGCGTTATTGTGTTTTCCTTTAACACCCTCCTCGTTTTCTCTCTTTCTACAGATAAGAAACTGTGCCTGATAAGTGACCAGCTGAAGGCCGCCATAGTGAATCTATGGCACAGGTGGAACATGAACTGAGTCAGTCTTGGCACTTGCCGTGTGTTCCCTTTGTGGCCTGGGTTGCTGTTTCTGTGTGGCTTCTTCCCACACTGCTTTGACATTAGGGAAACAACCTAGAAATATATGCAACATACCAACTCCACACTCCACTGCTACTCAACCCTGGGAGCTGGTTGCTTTGCAGTGGAAGGAAAAAATGTTATAGGTCACCCCCATGGGTGTAATCCTTGTTGCAAGTCACCAGAACCTGTTGGAAGCAGCCATGCAGAAACTGAAATTATGCCACTAAGGTAGCATATGAAGTGCTATAAATTCTATATTCAGGTCTCCAAAATAATGAGCTTCTAGCATGGGGAAATCTGCTTTGCTCTATCACGCTCCAAGACCTAGCTCTGTGTTCCCTTTCAGCTGTTTTCCAGCATCAAATCCCTCACCTTTAAAATAAACACCATCATCTTGCATCTTAAGTTATGTGGGGGTTTGCTTATGCTAAGTTTATGGTAAGCCCTGCCCAGCTCAAAAGGAACAGTGGCCTCGCAGAATTCATTTATTTTAATGGTTTTTGAATATTTAGAATAGCTGCTTTTAAGTGCCTTTATTGATAATCTCATTGCTTTATTCTTTTTGTAAACCACTTTGACGTTTCTTTGTTTTTACTATCAAGCGGTATATGAATTTGGTGAAATACAATAATAAAAGAAAAGAAAATACTCCATGCCATTTGTGGGCAGTGAAGCTGGGGGAGGGGGGATTTGCCAAAATATTTGGTAGGGAAGTAAAATTCTCAAAGGTTTTCATTCTTCTTCGAAAGGAGTCTTCTGAGAAATTTCAGCTCACGTAATGTTGAACGAAACTCTGTTGCTGGTTCATCTTGGCAGATGAATAAATCAGTGCAATAAGAGACGATAGGAAGGAGCAAACTAGATCCACAGTTGCACCCAAAATTCACGGATGGCAAAATTCGGGAAACCATTTTGCTGAAATTCCGGGTAGGACTGAAATTCCGGGTAGGACTCTCCAAGGGAGTCGGAATTCACAAAAGAAAAATCACACACCGGTAAGGGAAAAAAAATTCTGAGAAATTTCTGCTCAGTTGGTAGAGCATGAGACTCTTAACCAGATGGTCATAGGTTCAAGCCCCACCTAGGGCAAAAAAATTCCTGCATCGCAGGGGGTTGGACTAGATGACCCACTGGGTCCCTTCCAACTTCACAATTACCGTATTTTTTGCTCTGTAAGACTCACTTTTTCCCTCCTAAAAAGTAAGGGGAAATGTGTGTGCGTCTTATGGAGCAAATGCAGGCTGCACAGCTATCACAGAAGCCAGAACAGCAAGAGGGATTGCTGCTTTCACTGCGCAGTGATCCCTCTTGCTGTTCTGGCTTCTGAGATTCAGAATATTTTTTTTCTTGTTTTCCTCCTCCAAAAACTAGGTGCATCTTGTGGTCTGGTGCGTCTTATAGAGCGAAAAATACGGTATTTATGATTATGGCTTCACAAAAGGGAAATCTTGCCTTAGTATGTTATGCTAGGTATTTTACATCAGTTTAGTAATATTTAACATTATATGGTTTTAACATTGCACTGTGATTACTTGGTATGGTCAATTTTAAACTACTTTCATGGAATCAGAATTGTAGCGTTGGAAGGACCCCCAAGGGTCATTTATACAAACTCTTGAGATGTAGGGAATCTCAGCTTTTTAGAGCTTGTGATCAAAAAGCGACTAAAATGGTTTTTTTCTTAAAAAGTTCTACCTCCACAGTTGGAGGCAGTTATTCCTCTGAATATCAGTTTCTGGGAACCACAGGTGGGGAAAGTGCTTTTGCACTCAGTTCCTGCCTTCAGACTTCCCATGTGAATCTGGTTGGACACTGTGAGAATAGGATATTGGGACTAGATGAGCCTTTGGCCTGATCTAACTGGCTTTTCTCGTGTTTCTAAATAAATACGATCATTTTGGAAATTCTCTAGAAACCATGGGGCAAGGGCTGGTGGACTGCCCATGAAATGTGAGCTGTATAAATTCTCCAGCTCCCTTCTGGAGAGTACCATTACTTACTTACCTATCTCCTTGATGAAATCTGGCGGCAATTTAGACATAATGTACCTCTGGTGTGCAGCGCTGCCACAAAGGCATTAACATGCTCAGGATGTATGGGCCAGGGACCAGCAAGCTAACCTATGCGCTCTGCAACATGGATTAAGAACTTCTTATAAACGTTACGGCACCTGCAAGACCCACCACCGCAGATAGCGGTTTTGTGGGCATCATGCATGCCGTCTCGGAGATGGAATCATGCCTAAAATGATTGTGCCTGCTAAAAACACTTCCAAATACTCCCTCATTTGCAGCAACCACTAGCAAAACAAATCCAGACCAAATGTGTTCCAGTACTCTGCTTTCCATATATCATATAGGAATCAATGGCTGCAAATATCAGCACTGAAATGCCCTACTTGGCTCACACAGAGATAGAGAGAGAGAGAAGGGGAGGGAAAATATTGCTTTCAGATGGAAAGAATAAGGCTTTTGCTATATTAATATATACATTAAATTGCTCAAAAGAGATTTGCTGCGTCTTGTGCTTTTTTACTATTAAGCGAACATGTACATTCAATTTTACTTGGAATATATGACATTTTCTTCTGCACGAGTTGCAGTAAATGGTGGTTGGAAGCAAGGACAAAAAATAAAATAAAAATCCATTCCACACGTGGAGAAGGGGAGGAGAAAGTGCTCAGGCCAGTATTTTTCATTGCCCTGTCAGCAAAACAAATACACTCCAACTGCATTTTACAGTCCAAACAATTAACGATGGCAAATCTTTTCACATTCGTGACTTTTCTGCCAAACCAACTTACCCCAAAGCAAGAAAATACATACCACCACACTTAAAGGAGAGGAGAAGGAACACTTCATTTTTAGAGGCAAGCTTTTAAAGCACAGACATCCGTTTCAAAGGAACTCTGAGATCCATCAAAATAATAAGAAAACTTAACATAAGCTGCGATCTGGGTTGGGTTGGGTTTTTTTTTTTTTTTCAGACTTACCACAAGAGCAAAGTACACCATAAAGAAAAATGATAAACTACTTGTGTAGCCAAGAAAGCCTGTAAAATAACAGTAAAAATAAGAGGCAATTTATAAGGAAAGTGATCCTGGTGCAGGGCAAAAGGAGCTTCATGCTCTAGGTATGTTTTGCATTATGGGGCTCGGTATCTGGGGCTTAAGATTCAGAATAACAACATTCCAACTTGCCTGTCACAGATCATTTATGTAGTTTTGTAGGGCAGAATTAGAACTGGCTTACCACTAATGGCATGCTGTAAGTAAATGCAGCTCTTTAATGTTCTGTTGTAAAGGTTTTATTTTAGTAGAGCAGACACAGTACTACTGCAATCTAAGTAATAGGTTAACTAGGCAAAGCTGGAGGACAGACTAGGTTGCAAATAAACCTGCCTCCCCTCCCAATCTTTCCTCGAATCTTTTAAAAAAAACACACACACCACCACCCATTAAGGCTTTCTTTTTAAACTCCTCAATTAAATTGCTACTAAAAGAGAACACTACTGCTAATAGTAATTATGGCAGCAATAATACTCCCTTTAAAATTACTTACCAATTTTAGGAAGAAGTGCTAGAGGGAAGACAATGCAAACTGAGGTAAGAAGCAGCAGCAATCTCCCATCAAGATACCAGGAGCTATTGGAAAAGACAGTAAGGTTTCTGTTATTATTCTTATCTCTCTGTCCCCCTGGTTTTCTCTTCATTCTCTTTCTTTCTTATTTGCTATTTTGTTTATTGTATGTTGAAGAGTCGTAATAAAATTAGGTTTTTTTTAAAGGAAAAGATAGAGACAAACACTATTTAACTAAACACTTACAAATCATGGATAATTAAGCATCAAAAAACAAGAATCACCTTCTTTCAGTCTCACTAATAACTTCCAAAGAGTGGTCTTTTAAAGGATGCATTTATTTAGAGTTTTTTAAAAAAGTGACCCTACTACTCGCAGACTGTGAACAGGTTAGAAGCGCTGTTACCCTGTTAAATAATTCTTAGCTTGCAACCCTACACACATTTACTTGGAAGTAAATCCCATTGAACTTAACGGGATTTACATCTAAGTAAAAACAAGTAAGATAAGTTATTAAAATCTCATGCCTAATTCATCAGGGAAATGTGCTTCATGTAGCAACAGATAGTTTCACAGTAATACCTCAGTCTACAAACAGCCCTGTTAATGAACTATTAGGTGTACGAACTCCGCAAAACCGGAAGTAGGTGTTCCAGTTAGCGAACTTTACCTCGGAAACCGAACGGAAGCCGAACGGTGGAAGGGCACTGGCAGCGGGAGGCCTCAATAGGGAAAGCGCGCCTCGGTTTAAGAGCGGTTTCGGTTTAATAACGGACTTCCGGAACGGATTAAGTTCGTAAACCGATGTACCACTGTACAGTCATACCTCGGGTTGAAGTAGCTTCAGGTTAAGTATTTTCGGGTTGCGCTCCGTGGTGACCCGGAAGTAACGGAGCGCGTTACTTTTGAGTTTCACCGCTCGCGCATGCGCTCAAAATGATGTCACACGCATGCGCGGAAGCAGCAAATTGCGACCCACATGCGCTGTGTTCGCTTCAGGATGCGAACGGGGCTCTGGAACGGATCCCGTTCGCATCCAGAGATACCACTGTACAGTATACTGCAAGCAGCCGAACCCAGGGCAGATGTGAGGACAATTGCGGCGGCACTTTTAACCGATATAGCTCTCAAGTCAGAGGACCTTGATGACAGGTATGGTCTGCCTTGCCGCCGGGGGGGGGGGAATCCCAAAAGGGGCTATTTTGACTGAGAGCTACAGAGCCACCAAGAATGTTCTGAACGCCACATTAAGAGCCCTCTCTGCTTCAAACCCCTAATGCTGATTGATGAGCGTCTTATGCATTATCCCTTATGGTTGTTCCCTATAAACACCTTGGCCTTTGGTCTCTGGTTTTATTTAGCCCAGAACATGGTTAGCACCTCGTAAACAGGAAGGGGCATCATGTTACCATTTTAAGAGTGCCAGTAACACTTATGGGCATGTCTGTACTGGTTGTTGAAATTAGGTGGGCAGTACTGACCTGAGACATATATTTACACACGTCTGACCTGCCTGAGCAAGTAACGTATTTAACAGTATATACACACAGGGCAATAGGCATCAGTGGCAAATTACAACTTGTGTAGCTGCTTTGGCTGTGGTTGCCCTACTTTCTCAATGACCCCCCCCCCAACATGTGCACCTTGGCAGAGAGCCGATCAACACAACCCCTAAGTCTGTGCAACTAGCTCCACATTTTTGCACCTCTCAGCCAAGAGAAAACCACTGGTGAAAAGAGGAAGGGAGCAGGGGTGCAAATGGACTATTCTCCCATCATCCAGGCCTACTGCCCCACTTGAGCTACACAGCTCCACCATCCCTACTCCTCTACGAGTTCAAGAACAGCTTGTGGCCTTGCCTGCTCCTTGCATCCCCTGGGTCTCTTCGTAATGCATAAAAGACTACGCTAAACCAACAGAGCCTGCATTTATTTGATCACACCATCTCCTGATCCTTATGTTCTGTAAACTGCATTCTGTGAAGAACAGAGACATAAAAGGAGGGTGGGTGGGTGTGAGTATTGCTATAACAGGACCCAATTTTCCCCAGAATCTTGATAAATGATTTTTCATCTGCTACCCTGAAAACATGCCTACTCTTCCCAACACACTTTTAAGAGCATCCCTAACCAAATCTGCCCTCTCTCATAAAAACTAGAACTTGTGGACATCCAGTGAAGCTGAATTTTGGAAGATCAGGGGCAGATAAAAGGAAGTGCTTCAGGACACAGTGCATAGGTAGCCTATGGAACTCACTCCTACACAAGGCAGTGATGGCTACCAAGCTGCTCTCTTCTCATGTTCTCATGGGTCTCATGAGTTAAGTGTGTTTAGGACTGCAGCCTTAAGAGTGACTGACAAGCAATCCAGCTGGAACAAAACCATCATTCTCCCACGGAATCTATGGAAAAACAATGGCTTTACGCCAGCTGGATTGCCTGGCACAGATTAACAATGAAATTTTATATTGATCTGGCTCTGTGGTTTCGTTTCTTTGGTCTCTGGGCTGAGTATTTTAATTTAATTGTTGTGCTTTTATTTTATTGTGTTTTACTGCGTTTTTCTTGAATTGTTTTTAAAATGCCAATAGAATATAAATAACGCATGCAGTTTCTTTGGCTCTATGTGACACACCCAAGGAAACAAAAAATGAATCCTGTGCGCAAGGCTTACAGTGCCTCTGCACTCACCTGCCTGAAATATATGAAAGATGCACTTTACTGTTTCAAAGTGTACTTTTTCTATTTTAATATTTTTAAAACGTAAAATAGTCATTAGCAGCCAAGCATATTTAAACCCAATTTATATTGATGAACTATAATTAAATATCATAACCTCTTAATATTATGAATCAACCAATCTGTCATCCCATTGTATTACAAAAAAACCCCCAATAACCATTACCCTAATATTGCAATTCCTTGCACATTTTGAAGCCTCTCCTTAGATTCAGCATTGGATTGTATATTTTCCATTTCTAAGCATTTCCTCTACTTTAAAAATCCATTGCAAAGAGGTGCACGTGAAAGTTCTACTCCATCATAGATTAACTTAACGAAATTTAAGGCTCCTGGGAACTAGAATCTCTTTTTAAAATGTTATTTAGGCAATTGGGAATTCTGCCCTATCAGCACTTAGTCTTTGGCTGATGTTGACAAAAGCAGGAAAGATGCTTCTTGCTTATACAGCAATTTAAAAATATTTGTTATGGAAAGAACAATATTATTGGAGAAGGTAGTAGCTCCAAAGGTTGGGTCTATGTTCTCAAACTCACTTTCAAAATGGCCATAAATGAAGCAGATTCTCTCTAAAAAGTTCACTATAGGTTAATAATTTGGCTCCATCAATTTTCAAAGTTGTTTTGGTTTGGCTCTTTTGGTGGGGGGTAACTATTTTTACAAGGGCTTGAACACTGTTTCTGGCCAAGTGTTTTCCTTGGCAGTTTTGACCATCAGCTGCAGATGACTCCCAAATAAAGAGCTTACTATAGAACTACACAAGTTTTGGCACAGACAGCTGTCCTCTGCAAATCTGGCACATGCTACAAGAGCCTTGAGATGGGTCAATGTTCATATTTTGGAAACTGTGGCTCTTGTTCCATATAGGTGAAAGCAGCCTGAGCAATGTTATGTGTGGCTCCTGTTTGTAAGTGTAGTACGAAGTTATCCAGAGCATCTTGCTACCCACCTGGCTGGAGTCGGCAGATAACAAAGCAGATGCGGATCTAAGAGGTGCGTGTCTAAGGTCCCGTGAAAAGCAGAGCATAAATTCTCAAACTGTGTGCTGCGAGAAATAGATTAACTCCTGTGAGCTCAAAGCTTCATCAACAAAGAAAGCTGCCTGCTGTCTCTCTGATTCTGAAACAGACTACATTAGAAACTATGTCTGGTTTCAATTCAGCCTCCAGTAGAAGATGGATTCTGTCCCGTCTCTGCACTGAATAGATCCAATCACTACCAATGCAGGTGAAACAGAATGGCCTCAGAGCAGGCATGCCCAGAACTGAATGTAATTGGAAGACAAGGAAAGGGCTCCAATGAGGGCAGGTGGTTCTCACTCTTGCATGCCCTAAAAAAACACAAAGCTTTCCAGCTGTAGGAGCAAACTTTTACTTCTGAAAAAGTGCCGTGTCAAATATCAGGTTTCCTTAGCTTAAAATGTTTTTTTTATCCATCTCTCTACACCCATGTGCAGAAGGAGACTTGCAATTTTAACAAAGCCCCTAAAAACAGCAATGAAAATCATTATCTGTAAAACAAAACAAACGGAATAAAAATGTGAAGTGGGGAAGCCCGATGGGATCATGTCTCACCAGTCCTGAAAGCGCGGCACTGGATTGCCAGTGAGATGGACCCTGATCAGGATGTTAGTACTAGATTGTAAAGCCCTAAATAGCCAGGAACTGATCGCCTAAAAGAGCACCAGTACCAGCCATCTTGGACCCTGTGATTGGCAGGTGAGGGGGGCTGCCTGGTTGGCATGGACCAGTGACAGGGCCTTCTCAGTGATGGTTCCACATTTGCAGAATGCCCTCCCTGGCAAGATGTGTCTGTCTCCCTCATTACTGACATTCAGAAGGTTTACCCAGGCATTTGATGGCTGAAATACTGTTCCTAGCGATCCTGAAATCATTGGCTGAGTGTTTAAAGGGGGGGCGGGGCATATTCAGAATGTTTTAATATTGTGAAGAGTGTAGCCACTAGGCAAATATTGAGGAATGGTCCTCAATATGAGGAATGGAGCACCACCATGAAAAGCCCATCACCAGTTACCACTCACATAACCCACCCGAGTCTCCAGCACCACACAACTCTCTTTTCCTTCCAGTACAGCAGCTGCAAACAAATCCTACAGAGAAGGGTAGTTCGACTTTTTCAGACACAGTGACTTATCTCAAACAACAGCCTTAACATGGGACCAACTCCTGCACCTTCAGCAGTTGTGAAGAAGAGCTCGTCAGAGAGGGATGGAAAAAGGCTAGCCCTGCCAAAACTCTATGCCTGTGTTTCCCAACCTATGGGTCATGACCCAAAAGTGGGTTGCAGGCTTTATAAGGAAACACAAAATTATTGTTGCTTGGAATCCGCAACTGGTCTATGATGCAACTTTTTGTTTCACTGGCAGATTGTAACGCTGTGTGTTGACACACGCAATCGAATGCCAGCAAGATTTGAGTCTTACATTTTAACACTTAGGAATTCATGTGACAGTTAATCTATGGGTTGCCATCCCAAGGTGATTTTGGACTTGTGGGTTACCATGGAGACAAGGTTTAGAACTGCTCTTTTATACAACTATTAAAGGTTCAGGAAACCTGCCTCCCTCAATACTTGCTTTGTTCTAGAAGTAAACCAACAAACTATACTGATGTGCAGGCTGCAACCTACCTTAGGTTGGGGCCCACCCCACTTGTGGGTCCCAACCAACGAGCTGAAACCCAGTGCTAGCGAAGGTAATCAGGAGGGAAATATCCCAATTGTTTTTACAGCATGGATCACCCAGTGCTAGTGTATTGTGCCCTATTTTATTTCCAAACTTGACTAGAAACTAGGGAGAGAGAATAATGAAAATGGAACAAACGCTTAAGATCAAAAAACTGACCCCCTGCTGCCTCCACCCATAATCAAAAACACCTTTTTCACTTTTGAAAAAAAGGTCTACTAAAAATGTTGCACATTAACCTACAGTTCAAGGAGTATGTTTCGTGCTAAGAGTTCGAATTCATGGAAACCAGGAGATTGAAAAGACAGGCAAAGGACGCCCTGAAGTTATTGTAGGAGCAGGGGCAACTCCAGTCTATTCAAAACAAGAACAAGCTATTCAAATCTTGGAACATTTTTCTCAGCAAGCTGAACCACAATTTTTTTAAAAAAAGAAGAAGTTTTGAGTCAGATCTAAAGATGAAGTGAATGCAGCTGCACAGCCAAATTGGAGGAATTATAAAACAAATATGAAAACTGGCACGTTTCCCAAAGACAAGTCCAATAACTACTCAGCGAAAACAAAAATATTTAAAATTTCACTAACTGCCAGATTTTGCTTTGTGGTTAGAAAAAATATGTTAACATGGTAACATGACAGCGGCAGTTTAAACGTTTCAGGGCTCAGGCAGAGGCCTGATTCTCATGCTATAACTTTGGTGTGATTTCTTTGGCACAAAGTGGATTTTACAAGTGACAGAAACCCATAGGAAACTAGCCGGTCTTAGTAAGGTAAAACTGGATCCTACCGTGTGAATAAATATATTCTACAGTATTTTCTTGTGCAAAAATTAGGCAGTTAAAGCACCTTGTGAAAACGTCACACGTGTAAAAGTAAATGGTGATTTGCAACTTGGGAACGACACCACATGACCAAGGAATCTGTTTGGCTGCTTCTGAGTGGAGTTCGAAAATTCATCTAAAGTGCAACTGATTATAACCACACTCACACCATCCATTTGAAGCACTACTTTAAACATGGCTTCCACTAAAGGAGGCCTCTATTTCCCTCAAAGAGGTACAGTTCCCAGAGTGGTTTAACAATCAATCCCTCTTCACAAGGACCTCTGGGAATTGTAGTTCTGTGAGGGGAAGACGGACCTCCTAACAACTCTCAGCGCCTTTAACAAACTACAACTCCCAGAATTCTTTGGGGGAAGCCGTGACTGTTTAAAGTCGTAGCATAGTACTTCACATGTGTGGTATTAATGTGGTCTAAGGCAGAGTTAGGGAGGTGGGTGGCGCTGTGCGTTAAAGCACAGAGCCTAAGACTTGCCAATCAGAAGGCTGGTGAGTTCCCGTTGCTCGGTCCCTGCTCCTGCCAGCCTAGCAGTTCGAAAGCACGTCAAAGTGCAAGTAGATAAATAGGTACCGCTCCGGTGGGAAGGTAAACGGCATTTCGGTGCGCTGCTCTGATTCGCCAGAAGCGGCTTAGTCATGCTGGCCACATGACCCGGAAACTGTACGCCGGCTCCCTTGGCCAATAAAGCGAGACGAGTGCCACAACCCCAGAGTCGGTCACAACTGGACCTAATGGTCAGGGGTCCCTTTACCTAAGGCAGAGTTGCCTCAGACCTCTTGTTAGAAAACCCCATTTTCCAGAATTGAGGGGGGCGGGTTTGAAAGGGGGAGGTTAAATCAATGGAATACAGTACTGACAATCAAGTAGGCAGGGCAGGGCAGGGCAGTGGGAGACTTGGCTTCAGTATAGCTGCTGTTAAAACCCAGTTCAGCTGCAATTTATATAACCAGCAGAATCAGTTGCTAAAGCTTTGTATGGAGTGCACCACTTCAGAAAAAGCAAGAATATATGAACGACCCACAATTCAGAAACTTTCTAAACACGGAAAGCTAGCGCTTCAGCATGGCCTTCACCTCAACATTCCAACTTTCTATGTGCAGAGACGTGTGTGTATTTGTGCATGAAAACCTTCTATTTGCAGCCTGAAAATCTGCAATCCAAGAAATGTGTTGCCACTTGGTTCTGCTGACTGTGTAAGCTTGTCTGAAGAAGAATTCCGCATTTGGCACAAAGAAGAAACAACTATTTTTGTGTGAGCTGCAGGTGTAAATATGCTGACAGCAAGTTATGATTTTCAGGCTCCTATTAATCACTATGGGAGCAATCAGTAATGAATTACACTTTTGAACACATCTGCATTGCACAGGTGAAGGAATCTGCAAGGTCCCGTCTCTCTCTCTTTCACCTGGAGAGCAGTGGGAAGCATCGCGGCCCCTATGTTTAAGAAGAAATGCCTTTGCTTGCCCTCGTAGGATGCTTTTAGGTTTCTCCTTACCCGCTGTGGTCTCCGCTAAGGAATCCTGCAATGGCCCCAGGAAGTTCGGACTTAACAATGAGAAGATAGGTTGACATGGCTGAGAATTAAGAAAACAGGCATTGGTTGAGTTAAAACCTCGACATCTCTAGGCAAAGTGCAATTAGCATTGCTAGTACAGAACAGTTAGGAGACCAAGAGACCGTGTCTCACTAAAGGGCACAGCACATAAAAACTCCATTTGTCCCTTTCTTATATTCCGGTGAAAAACTCATACAAATGTTATTTCGTAAGTACTGCAGAGGGTTCATTAGAATTGGGGGGACCTTACACAAAGGAAGGGACGCGGGTGGCGCTGTGGGTTAAACCACAGAGCCTAGGACTTGCCGATCAGAAGGCTGGCGGTTCGAATCCCCGCAACGGGGTGAGCTCCCGTTGCTCGGTCCCTGCTCCTGCCAACCTAGCAGTTCGAAAGCACGTCAAAGTGCAAGTAGATAAATAGGTACCACTCCGGTGGGAAGGTAAACGGTGTTTCTGTGCGCTGCTCTGGTTCGCCAGAAGCGGCTTAGTCATGCTGGCCACATGACCTGTACGCCGGCTCCCTCGGCCAGTAAAGCGAGATGAGCGCCTCAACCCCAAAGTCGGCCACGACTGGACCTAATGGTCAGGGGTCCCTTTACCTTTACACAAAGGAAAAAAAACTGGGGCAATTTCATTCCACGTTATCCCAGTGTACAACTTGGAGAGTCAGGGATACCTGAAAGAGAGAGCAGGCTAACCTCTTCCTTTTCCTTCATTACTTTCTCCCATGTAAGTGTCATGGTGCTCTGTACTCTTATGGAAGGGGGTGGGGTGGGAACTGGCGATGAGACACTGCTGAGGCAGAGGCAAAAGGAGACCCCTGCGTTGGGTGAAGCAGTCTCAACCACTGGGTTCGGTGGGGGGGATGAGGACGCTGCAAAAGAGGTCTTCTCTCTGCCCTACCTGTCCTCATAATAAATTTACTAGTGACCAGATTGCTCACTGGAGCAAGACGGTTTGAGCGTATTGCACCGATCCTGGTCTGACTGGAATGGCTACCAATTAGTTTCATGGCCCAATTCAAAGTGGCAGTCTTGACCTATAAAGCCTTCAACTACTTAGGACCACAATACCTCAAGGACCGCCTCTTCCCATATGAACCTACCCAGACCCTGAAATCATCTTCTGAGGCCTTCTTTGTGTGCCTCCTCCTCGAGAGGTCCAGAGGGCGGCAACGTGAGAACAGGGCCTTCTCTGCAGTGGCTCCCCATCTGTGGAATGCTCTCCCCAGGGAAGTTCGCCTGGCACCTTCATTATACACCTTTAGGCACCAGGCAAAAGCATCCCTTTTTAACCAGGCCTTTGGTTGATCTGATTGAAATCCTATAACCTTTTAAAATGTGGCTTTTGGGGGGGTGTTATTGGGTTGTTTTTATTTTAATTATATATATTGTGGTTTTTATGTTGATCTTTTCTGTGAACCGCTCTGAGACCTCCAGGTATAGGGCGATTAATTGCACACATCAAAACGATTCAATTTGTATCCCGCACCATTTATTATTGAATTCTGTTCTGCACCTTGCTCTGGAAAAAAACCCTACCTACATTCTTTTAAATAACCAGAACGGTATTCCCAACTAATTCACTTAAGTGGATTTGCCCCCACAAGAAAACATAAAAATGCAACACATTTCTGTAAGTTTGTTATCCGTATCAATCACAAAAAAGGAGTAGAAAGTTAACTGCAGAATGCTGCAGCCCTGAAACAGTTAAAATTACAATTTTTCAAGTGGAGGAATGTGGCCTCCATAAAGAAAAGTGAATTGCATTAATCCAGAGTGGCATGTACCTACAGCAAGGTTAAATTAAAAACAGTTGTGAGGTCACTAAATAAGGAAACATTCACTTCTTTGTATTGAGATACTCAGGTTTTTCCAATCGACGCTGGCCTTCCCTGTTGACTAAGGCATGGGGAGACATTTTATTTGGTGTCTCCAATTTTATTCCTTTTTTAAAAGGAAATTTGATGGAGTGTTATAAGGTCATGTAATTTGAAAACCACCAGCATGACTGCAGGACAGTAATAACGATGCTGTACTTTCTGATGGTAACCAATAGGTGCCAATGAATATAAAGGAGATTTTTTCCCCCCTTTCCCTTTTTAAAAAAAAATCTCTTGCAAAGAAATTCAAACTTCTGTATCGAAACTTAAAATTTCTCTCATGCCCGTTTTGCACATCTGGAATTGAGAGATCAGGCATTTATCTCTTTCACAATTGTTTTTTAAAAGTCACATCGGTTAAATCACACAAAAAACCCAACCTTCAACTAATTTCCAGCTCAGATTTCTTGCTAATATACAATGTGTCACTCTTTCTCATGCATTTATTTTAGCCTCTGGCTAACCATTTGATCATTTTTATCCTTTGTTGTTTGATTGACTCTTTTTGTTTCCTAAATGGCAGCACTACTCCTTTGAATACCATGCTCCAGAGAGAGACCCGATCCCCTGTGCTACATTCGGGTGCTTTTATACAAAAACTAAAATGAAATGAGCACCCTCTCTTCCCCTTATATGCTGTTCCTTTTCTTCCTCTAGGTCATAAGGAAAATGGACTCGAAGTTCAGTGAATCTATTTCTACCCTGAAGCTTCTGTAAGATAGAAATCTCTCTTTTGGCAGCTCATGAGAAAACAGTACAATTCAGACGTGTGCTTTATCCTGAGTTTAAAAGGTTAAGCTATGGGGTTGGTCCCCCCCGCCCCCGTCAAATGCTGAACACTGAAGAAGGCTTTCACATAAAAGTGACCACCAAATAATAGTAATAGCTGTTGGAAGAATAAAAAATCAGCCACTGTGCAGCCACTTAAAGCACTGAATTAAAGGGGAAGCACAAGGTCTGCATGTACTTGAATTGTTTATAGCATGGTAGGCAAACTAGGGCCCAGGGGCTGGATCCGGCCCAATCGCCTTCTATATCTGACCCACGGACGGTCCAGGAATCAGTGTGTTTTTATATGAGTAGAATGTGTGCTTTTATTTAAAACGCATCTCTGGGTTATTTGTGGGGCCTAGGAATTCGTTCAATTTTTTTCCTACAAGGTCCGAGGGACAGTGGACCAGCCCCCTGCTGAAAACGTTTGCTGACCCCTGGTTTACAGGCACAAATTGTGATGCGCACAGTTGCAGAGTTAGCTACAATGGCAGTGCTTAAAAAACCGGCACATTACATCTATTGTTAGACCTGCATTACTAGTTGTCAGCTGAACTGTGGTCAGAGAACTTCCTTGTATGCCTTTCCACAGCCACATAACTCAATTATCAATGATGGAGTACTAACGGCAGAAATTAGCTCCTGCTTAGAGACGCTTAAAACTGATTTACAGCCCTTCCTTTCCGCATGGCTCTTAGACAGGAATTTTACACAAAAGATGCCAGCATCTGGGCATCGCTGGGGCATTTGGTTACTGCTGGAGACAAGAGCGCTGGGCAGAGTAGCCTCCTGGTCTGGTCTGCAGCCAGTTCTCGAGCTTCACAAGTGAAACTGCCCTACTCCCTGCAGATCCCTGACATTTCTTGGTGGATCTGCAAACAAAAAAGTGCCCCATATTTCCCTATCAGATGCCAGACTCACGTGACTACTTCCCCACATTGCAGGGCTGTGGGCAGGAGTCAACCAATCACTATGCCCAACATGGTACCCTATAGACTTGTCTAACTTCTTGTTCCCCAATGTGGTTCAAGGCCAGAAGGCCTGCCTTCCCATTTGCTATTTAGAATACTAAATACTAAAACTAAATACTGAAATGTTTGCTGTTCATGGGGTTGGGCTTCCTGCGCAACTCCCATGAAATAACACACATTATCCCAGCGGAGATGCAGACAGTCCTCCGGTGACTCACTCATGTGGTGATCAGCTTATCATAGGCAAAATGTTTCTGCACTTTTGAAACTGGAGACACTTGACCGGAAGACAAAGCCACTAAGTGCAACCTTCACTCTCTCCAGTCATTCCAAAGTGTTGCAGTTTTAGACGCCTTGTCCAAGTCTCAGAAGCACCGAGGCACTCTTTGGACCCATCAGTGCACTACTGCAACCACCCAGAAAGACTAACAGAGAAAGCTGCGGGTGCACAATGGTCTCTTTCCACCCCACACTCGGTATTGCAGGTGGCCGGACCCTGCCATGTACGTGGAATCCTAGCTGAGACTGGGAGCAACCCGGAAAAACGATCACATGACACTGGCCAGAAAGGAAGAGGAAAGGCCTGTGAGGTTGTGCTACCGCAATAAGTAACGACACAAATGATATTCATTTGCCTTTACTGGAGAGGCTCTTAGTGGGAGCTAGTTCATGGGTCACATTGTGCAGCCACTGCCAGACTGTGTAGAAAGGCACTAAGCCAGGTATGCGCAAACTCGGCCCTCCAGATGTTTTGGGACTACAACTCCCATCATCCCTAGCTAACAGGACCAGTGGTCAGGGATGATGGGAGTTGTAGTCCCAAAACATCTGGAGAGCCGAGTTGGCCTATGCCTGCACTAAGCTATGGCTGCTTGCTACTTGCCGTAACAATGACAAATTAGAACTGAAATGGAAGAAACACAACTGGAAATTTAAAAAAACTTTGGGCCGCATCCGCCTAACTCATTTTGTCAGCACAAGGATTCACACTTACGCAACGGAATCTCCTAATGCGCGTACCCTGCACTCTCCCCAAATATGCTCTGGAGGTTTGGGGGAACCCCCAGAAGAGATTCAGGGTGCATGCAGAGTTCCACTGCATCAGCATGAATCCTTGAACTGACAGAATGAATTACTCTGGATAAAAGCCTGTTTCCTAGAAGGAATGACCACTGGGGGGGGGGCACAGAGAAGAAACCCCATGGTGTATCTGCAGCACCACAACCCGACACCTTCATCTGCCCCATCTGCAACAAAACATGTCTCTTCCGTATCGGTCTCTACAGCCACAGCAGGCGCTGCAACCTTCCATCCGTTTGACTTCACCCTCTTCCATAGTCTCTTGAGACAGAAGATGCCAACAACAACAAATTACCAAAAAGAGTGTTAAGGGGACCATGTGGCAGCGTCTTGCTGCTGTTGCTCTGCTAAACTGCAGGACAAATAAAAAGTGAATGAGTTTTGTTTGTTTGTTTGTTTTAAAGTGTGAATGTGAAAAAGCATGTGCATCATAGAGAGTCAGAATTCCTCACAGTTCCCTGTTGAATGTCTCCTTAGTCCAGTGACTGGATTGAATTTTAGTCCAAAACATGGATGGAGAAGGCTGCTTTAGTCAGTGTTTGCCCTGAGTAATGTATGAAACAGTCAGGATTTGCCCTGAGAGATATCTGAAACGATTCTAAAGGCATGTATCTGAAGAAGAAACGAAGAGCAGAGAAATTCAATAGACATCGCTTCCCGAACAAATCCCAAAATCATTAACAAGGATTTGCAAGAAATTAAGTACTGAAGATAGAAATATCTCCATGTATCTCAGAAGTCACAGAAAATGTGCCACTCCACACACACAAGGTGGGTTTTGTTTTTAAAGATTTGCAACCAGAGGCTCCAACTTTTCCTAACCACTCTGTCCACAGACAAGAGACCAGAGCCAAACCATCGGTTTGGTGACAAAAGGAGGATGTGTGTTTGTGAGCTTAGGGAGTTGTGAGAGAGTTCATGGGATCAGCCTTCCCTAGCTGAAGGGCTGGCAAGACACCCTTAGAAATATCCGGTGGTTGGAAAGAATGAACCTCATCCCCTCTGGCTAGATGTTCTTACCCAACCAGTTCAGTTCATGACACTGTTATTAAGAAGGACGCATGTCTTCCTTTCGGGGCTTTATGGAACAGGCTAACAGAGCGTTTTACAAAAATGCATATGGGCTGAGGGTGCATTTGGCGACTTCAGAAATCTATTTTCCCTACGGATCATCACTTACTCAGCATTTTTAATTTTCAAAGTGCCTTGCCCTCACTGTGGTTACCCTCATAACAGGTCTGTGAAGCAGGTCAATCCTACTCAATTCTTTTTGCAGATGGGGAAGTGAGGCTGATACTTACTTGCTTGTCCTTGTCCACAAATCACACAGACAGAGGCATCTACCAACTGTGTGATCCACAGGCAACTGAGGCTTGCTGGGCTCTTTCAGGAGGAACAGTGGGATATAAATTCAGTAACAATAACAACAGATAATAATCCAGCAGCTTTGCAATAATATTGCAACTGTGTAGATCATTTCCAACAGCTCCTGGCCAGGTGCTGTGTTTAACATCCCGTCCCCACCAACCTCAGGGACGCGGGTGGCACTGTGGTCTAAACCACTGAGCCTTGGGCTTGCCGATTGGAAGGTTGGCGGTTCGAATCCCCGTGACGGGGTGAGCTCCCGTTGCTCGGTCCCTGCTCCTGCCAACCTAGCAGTTCAAAAGCACGTCAAAGTGCAAGTAGATAAATAAGTACCGCTCTGGCGGGAAGGTAAATGGCATTTCCATGCGCTGCTCTGGTTCGCCAGAAGCGGCTTAGTCATGCTGGCCACATGACCCAGAAGCTGTACACCGGCTCCCTCGGCCAATAAAGCCAGATGAGCACCGCAATCCCAGAGTCGGTCACGACTGGACCTAACGGTCAGGGGTCCCCACCAACTTCACAGGTGGGCCAAGCCTCTCTGGGAACTGCTGCAGATCCCAGGTTTGTTTGAAGTTTACCTGGCCTCAGGTTGTGGGATAGGTGGTCACAGGAGCAAAGCAGCATATGTCACTGTATATCTAGAGCTTTGGAGGCCTTTTGTAAGCCAGCATATTGGGGGGGGGGGGGCGTCCTGTTCATGCCATCAGCAGTACAAGATGATTAGGGCACCTAGAGGCCTTTTTGCTACCACTTTCATCCTTGGTAACTAATTACACCGAATAACTTAAAAAGTGGGGGACATACACCTATCTCAAGTGTCAAAAACCAGGGTAAAAATGTGACTTCAGCATTTGCCCAAAGTTGTAAACTGAAGGATCCAGGCACACTTCTCTGGGAAGGAAGTTCCACATCTTAGCTTTATATAGTGATACCTTGGTTCTCAAACACCTTGGTACTCAAACAACTTGGAACCCAAACACTGCAAACCCCGAAGTAAGTGTTCCGGTTTGTGAACTTTTTCCGGAAGCTGAACGTACTCCATTTTGAGTGTTACACTTCTGATTTGAGCACCACATTTCCATTTTGAGTGTTACACTGAGGTCTGTCTGTTTTTGCTATTTATTTTGCGTTTTTGTTTTTGTGGGTATTTTTTGTTTCGTTTATGTGACTGTGTGGAACCCAGTTCAGCTACTGACTGATTGGTTGTGCAACTGCAGCACATTGTTTATTGCTTTCATTTTATGGATCAATGGTCTCGTTGGATAGTAAAATTCATGTTAAATTGCTGTTTTAGGGGTTGTTTTTAAAAGTCTGGAACGGATTAATCCATGTTGCATTAATTTCTATGGAAAAGCATGCTTTGGTTTTGGAATGCTTTGGTTTCGGAACAGACTTCTGGAACGGATTAAGTTTGAGAACCAAGGTACCACTGCACCATCTTTACTGATTTATAAGGTACCATCCTTAACCTGTAGATAAAGTTCCTTCTTAGTTCAGGTTCCATGGCATTTTTGGAAAGTATACTTCTTGCTGTTATTTTTTGCAGCCCAGTCTCCCCCAGCTCCGCAAACAAGCACTTGTGAAACTGAACTAGTTGGAATTTGCTCAGACAATTTCCAAAAGTGTAGGAAAAAAACCTCATAAAAGTATGGACAGTGCATATGGTTATAAAAAGCTGGAAATCTTAGTGGGAACTATAGGGAAATTTAAGGATGCAGGTACTCTTGACATGGGCAAAAGAAGAGATGATTTTAACACCACAGGGCACCAATTTGCAGTGAGAAAACACTATGAATTAATTATAAAAGTGGCTGATCCAAGCCCAGTTAGATTACGAGCTCAGAAGTGCTGCTTTTTATTAAGCCCATTCCTTCTCGCATTATTTCCTCTATGCATTCCTGCTAGTCAATATATATGGATGGAATGACACAACCCGCAGGCACATTCATTGTTTCTCTTTTGGAAAGGCCTTCCTGTCCCTTATTTTTTTTCCCAAAATAAAAATCCTGGACTACTGCCTTAATTATAAAAATAAAACGTAATTGACCTTAATGGGCCTGAATTGTTCAACTAGGACTGGAGATCGCAAGCCTGCCTTTAATTAAAGCGGAGCTGGAAATCGTCAATTTAAAACAATAAGGGTAATTAGCTTTCAGGCCAAACATAAGCTGCTGAAGGGGTGAGCACTCAAATTAGTCCAAATCCCTCTGTAAACAATCTGCACTTGCAGCAAATACAGTAGTCACTTAAAAGATTAATTTAGGCAGATCTTTACCAAGAAATGGATGCCCCTTGGCAGGAAATTTGCTCCCACTTTAGGTGTCTGCTTATTTCAAACATGTTTGGAAAGTACGTACTGTGGTGAGAGAAGAAGCTACATATTTCTGGCTTCCTTCCCTGTATTTGCCTTTCTAATTCTTTGGATTAGCACTTTTTGAAACACACTGCACACACACGAATACAAAAATAAATCTTTTCTCCATGGCATTCAGGAGTCTGTGATCTGTGCAGGGATTGCCCCATGTCATCCTTTGCAGATAATCAAAGTTTATAAAGGTAAACAAATCTTTTAGGTACACACAACATTTTTTGTGCCGTTCCCCCACTTGATCCTGTAGCAATCTTGCAACCGTCCATAAAATTTGCTAATCTACTTGTCCTCAGATGTTAATTTACATTACATTAATGGGAAGGGGACAGGCAGGAAGGAAATATACCCAATTTACAAAAGCTTCCCTACTTGCCATTATGGCAAATCTCACCACAGGCAACCTGGCAAGTGGATATTTACAACTCTGTCCTACACTCCTTTTGACAAAAGAAAAGGAGGTGAGGGAGTATGCAGTAGCAAAGCTCCCTGTACACAATCAGAAATCTGACCTTGTTTAGTCAAAGACCTTTAAGGATCTGAGTGAAGGCGTCAAAAGGACTTGGCTTCTGTGTCCTCTCCATCGCCCTTTCAGGGCCAAATCTGACAGAAGTCCCCTATCTGTAGCAGGGAGGCTCCTTCCTTCCCATGCCACCAATTCGATACACTTATGCAGGAGAAAAGCTTGTTGAGGCTACTGCAGATGTTTCAGGAGGGGTGGGTAAAAAAAGTGAAATGGCAGAAACATAATTTTGAACTCCTAGATGCCGGCACAAATTTGCATAAGCTGTCCGGGTCCTTTCTAAACAGCTTTTAAAATATATTCATACCTCGGGTTACAGCCGCTTCAGGTTGCATTTTTTCGGGTTGCAGACTGCCGAAACCCGGAAGTACTGGAACAGGTTACTTCCGGGTTTCGGCGGTTGCACATGCACAGAAGCGCTAAGTTGTACTTTGCACATGCGCAGAAGCGCTAAGTTGTACTTTGCACATGCGCAGAAGCGCTAAGTTGTACTTTGCACATGCGCAGAAGCGCTAAGTTGTACTTTGCACGTGCGCAGAAGCAGTGTATCGCAACCCACACGTGAACAAACATGGGTTGCGAACGCTGCAGGTTGCGAGCGTGCATCCTGCACGGATCCCGTTCGCAACCCGAGTGTCCACTGTACATATTCTGATTGGGGGGTTTTGTGTGCTTTTTTCATATATGCAATTGCTTTGGCTGTTTTTAGATACGAACTTGCTTTAAATATGTTTTTTATGTTTTTATATTGTAAACTGCTTCAGAATGCCTCACTGAAAGGGATTCAGAAGTGAAATAATATGACTCCCCTTCACCAAACAGCTACATAAACCCCGGCTGCACAAAGAATTCGGAGTTAAAAGGCTAAAACCATAAAAAGAAAAGGTTCTGCAAAGCAGAAAAGCTGCTCTCTAGATTGCTGCAGAGGAAATACAGATTAGACTAATTACAGACCTGCAAATAAAATTAAGCGTGAACCTAGTACAATAGGTTTTAAGATAATCCCCTCTCCCCCAAGGTCAGGATTCACACTGCTCTCTAATTTTTGCTTGTTTGTTATTTTTTGTTGCCTTCCTCCGAGAGAGAAAATCACAAGAGCTTGGCTCCAGCTCTTTCCTGAGAAATGTTCCAGATGAAGCTCTACTTCAAATGACCACCAGATGGAGTGACAACAGCACCGAGGGAACGAAATGTTCTCAAGTGTACCTGGGACTTTTTCTTATCCTGTTCTCAGAGAAATAAACACATGCAGCTCCTAATCCAAGCCACCTTTGGTTTCTTCCTACGTGGAAGGAATCTTGAAAAGCTGGACGGCAGATCCTTAATCATGTCTAAGGCCTGGAGACCAAAGGCTCTACAGGTAGCCTTGCACACTCATGCTTCCTTTTAAACGGACTGGTAAATATGGAACAATATTAAGTGCTTGTTGTCCTCTGTCGTCCTCTTCTCCTTGTGCCCTCAATCTTTCCTAACATCAGGGTCTTTTCCAGGGAGTCTTCTCTTCTCATGAGGTGGCCAAAGTATTGGAGCCTCAGCTTCACGATCTGTCCTTCCAGTGAGCACTCAGGGCTGATTTCCTTCAGAATGGAGAGGTTGGATCTTCTTGCAGTCCATGGGACTCTCAAGAGTTTCCTCCAGCACCATAATTCAAAAGCAACAATTCTTCGGCGATCAGCCTTCTTTATGGTCCAGCTTTCACTTCCATACATCACTACTGGGAAAACCATAGCTTTAACTATACGGACCTTTGTTGGCAAGGTGATGTCTCTACTTTTTAAGATGCTGTCTAGGTTTGTCATTGCTTTTCTCCCAAGAAGCAGGCGTCTTTTAATTTCGTGACTGCTGTCACCATCTGCAGTGATCATGGAGCCCAAGAAAGTAAAATCTCTCACTACCTCCATTTCTTCCCCTTCTATTTGCCAGGAGGTGATGGGACCAGTGGCCATGATCTTAGTTTTTTTGATGTTGCGTGCTCTAGTCCATGGAGTCACGAAGAGTCAGACACGACTAAACGACTAAACAACAACAGTGACTCTGCTAAATCCCTTCTGTAGTGACTGCTGCAGTTGCTTCTGAGCCGAAGGTAAACTAGGATCTACTGGAACATCGCTGGGTGGTTTCTGCCTTCCAATTGTTTAACAACAGGAACAACCATTTCTCCACATTAGGATTTCAGAATCCCTGCTCTGTAGTAACTCAAATACAGATTTATATTTGTATATGCAGGACATTGCAGCGTACGGCTCATGGGCTGCCGCAAGAAAGCAGCTCCCAACTTCTCAGCCCCCATTTTGGGTCTAGCTCTGTTTGCTATCTGCTTGGCTCTTCTCATCGTTCCATCTTTTAACAATCTCCAAACTTTTGACGAGGAAGCGGCAGTAAATAACCAGTAAGAGAAAACAAGAGGAAAGTGGGAAGGGACCCAGCACTTCTGCCTGCGGGATTTTTCCTGGCTTTGAAAGGATCGAGAGTGGTCTGGCAAGGGCTCTCGCGCAAGGCATTTCTAGTTTCTAGGGAACAGGCAGGTTCTCAGAGCCGGCTTCTGAAAGGTTGCCCTCACCAAAAAGGTTCACAGGTGTACCCATTACACTTCCTTCGTGCAAATGTCCAGTAGGAAATTATATCAAATCTGAAATTGCTCTTTTTCCTTCCAGCCTCTTTTTTTAAAAAAAAATTGCAAGTGTTTACAGTCAAAAGTGAAAGAAAAATGTAAAACCAAGTTAACTGCTACACAAGACAAAATCTGGTCAGATGTTGCCGTTTCACTGAAGCGACTTCCTTTTCTTCCCCGGACTGCCCCAAACACCCTCAAAATCTGCTTCAGAGGCCTGGGAGACCTTCCAGGGCAGATTTTGGGGGCATGCAGCGGGAGGAAAAGAGGGGGAATATCCCATTCCACAAGTGAAACACCACATGCACAGCTGGATGCAAGTCAGGAAGCTCACCCAATTCAGCATCCTGCTTCTAACAACAGCCAGGCTGATGTCTCTAGGAACTCCCTTAAGCCAGCTACAAATGCAGCAACCCTCTCCCATTTTCTGCCCCCAGCATGTTATTAAAAAGCCAATAACCATTGACAGATCGATGTTGTATGTTCTGTTTAATTCAGCCACCTTATCCAGAAGTCATCACCAGATCTTGCGGCAGTGAGTTCTACAAACTAGTTATGCATCATGTGAAATAGAACTTAATTGTTCTGAACCTGCTGCTGATAAGTGCTTTGGGTGATGATACTCATATTTTGATATGACTGCCATGGGTACCAGCACAAATGGATGCACAAAAAAAGGTGCCAGTACTCTGTACTAGTGAATACAGTGGTACCTCGGGTTACATACGCTTCAGGTTACATACGCTTCAGGTTACAGACTCCGCTAACCCAGAAATACTACCTGAGGTTAAGAACTTTGCTTCAGGATGAGAACAGAAATCGGGTTCCGGCGGCGCGGCGGCAGCAGGAGGCCCCATTAGCTAAAGTGGTGCTTCAGGTTAAGAACAGTTTCAGGTTAAGAACGGACCTCCAGAACGAATTAAGCACTTAACCCAAGTTACCACTGTACTGACACAAAATAGCCCTGCTTGCCAATCTATTTAATCACAGCATTGACAATTTTAGAAACCTGTAAAACCACCACCACTGCTTAGCTCCTTATGCAGAATGATGGTTGACCGGCCCTTTTCACAGTCCGTAAGCCACCTCTCCACCTGGCTGTGCAGTGTTCTGATTGGTTGGCCTATTTAGCAAAAATGCAGTTATGTTGTACCTTACTGGCATGTTTGCACTGTCTACATATGTCATTAGCTACGTACAAAGGAAAGCAATACTGTCCATGTAACATGGGAACCATGCAAATATAGTTGTGGCAAGAGAATTATCCTTTTGCAGTGACTTTAGAACAGGTTAATTTTGCGGTGGTGGTGGGAGGTGCAATACCCACACTTTGCAAGAGAAATGTGTGTACTCCTATGGAAAGAAAGCGAAACAAAAGCACCGAATGCTGAAGGAACATGGAAATTTCCATCTAACGGTATTTAAAAGCTTGAAATAATATTTTCCAAGTGCAAATGCTGCTTCTTGAATTAATCAGAAATGGGAGTTCTTGGCAGATACGTCTTTGCTTTCTGACAGCCAATGTTATTGTTGAGGACAGAATAAGTAGTTTGATAACACCCAGTGTGCAATAGCTCAGGCCTCTAGGGTTTCTCGGGGGACTTTTATTAAAAGTGACACACATACAAGGTTATGAACTGTTGGAAGGAGAAGAAAATAAGACTCAAATTTCCTTTGACCAGCACACTCTTATAACAGGTCCTGGGTCTGACAGACCCTTCACTGCTTAGACCCAACTTGTTTAATGACATTTATTTAGAGGTGCAGTCAAATAGGAAAGGAAATTAAAAAATTTGTTTCTCACTACGTAACGTCACCCCAAACCGGTATGAATAAATAATACTCGGTCATTGGGATTAGACTGTTCATACTCCTGCCTGGAGTTAATAGCAAGAGTTTATTACACTTTAAAACATAGCTTGTTCTACAAAGGACACTAAATTGAATTATGAAAGCAAGCGACCTAGTTCTCAAGTATGTTTATAAAAAGAGCAGTCACTGGGCAGCGTGAGTCAAATTTATGCAGTCACAGTATAATTACGCCACTCAGCAACTCTCATATGTGGTGCTTGGTCCCAAAGCTACAGCAGCCTTTCCTAGGCAGGTAAATATATCTATAAATATATCTATGATCTCTAACAGAGGTGTCCACAAATTTAAGGACATAGGAACAATTTCAAGCCCAGTTTTCATATGTAGAATAACTAGACCATGATTGGAAGGATGGGACGATACAAGACATTCAAGGAGACAAAGCAGTTGACCATAACTAGATCAAATTACTATACAGTGGTACCTCAGGTTAAGTACTTAATTCGTTCCGGAGGTCTGTACTTAACCTGAAACTGCTCTTAACCTGAAGCACTACTTTAGCTAATGGGGCCTCCTGCTGCCGCCGCACCGCCGGAGCACAATTTCTGTTTTCAACCTGAAGCAAAGTTCTTAACCTGAAGCACTATTTCTGGGTTAGCAGAGTCTGTAACCTGAAGCATATGTAACCTGAAGCATATGTAACCCAAGGTACCACTGTATAATTGTTCTCAGGACAGCTCTGAAAGATCCTCAGTGTTAATAATTATTGTAACTTAACATTTCTTACCTCCAACATTCTGTATAACGATTGTGCTGGCCACAAGAACCTACAAAAACAGTAGATGATGTTAGGAAAAGCAGAAATGTAAGAACAATCTCATGTGATTCATGAAATATCATACAACAGTCCCCAAGCGGGTGGCGCTGTGGTCTAAACCACTGAGCCTCTTGGGCTTGCTGATCAGAAGGTCGGCAGTTCAAATCCCTGCGACAGGGTGAGCTCCCGTTGCTCTGTCTCAGCTCCTGCCAACCTAGCAGTTCAAAAGCATACCAGTGCAAGTAGATAAATAGGTACCGCTCCATCGGGAAGGTAAACGGTGTTTCCGTGTGTGCTGGTTTCCGTCACAGTGTTCTGTTGTGCCAGAAGCGGTTTAGTCATGCTGGCCACAAGACCCAGAAAGCTGTCTGTGGACAAATGCCAGCTCCCTCGGCCTGAAAGCAAGATGAGCGCAGCACCCCATAGTCATTTTTGAAAGGACTTAACTGTCCAGGGGTCTTTTACCTTTACCTTTTTACCTAAGCGAGCAACAGCCGTAGCTAGATATCCTACATGCTACATCCCTACGAGTGATGATGGACTTTTCTCTCTTAAAAATGAGCAATAACAAAACCAAAAGGAGATAAAGGAGAATTTGGAAACTACCTTTCCAGGTGAGCCAAATGCGAAGAGACCGAGATCTTCATAAGAAGTAACAGCTGTTAGAAGGAAACAAATAATTCCACATTAATATTTACTGGAAAATTATATGCATGTTTTATGCATGCATATCAAGTACAAAACATATGGTTATAAATCTAATATATGTGCTTCTTCCATCAAAAAAGCACAAGAACTTAGAAATGCAGGTGGGGAAAGTTTTGTGGGGTTAATTAAGGTAGTCATGGAGTGTGCCCGAAAATGCTAATTTTGTGGATGCTGTATTACTGGTGAAATTACAGTTAATTGCCAAATATTAAATCTAGCCAAAATTAAGCTATTTTAGGTCTCACTGATTTAACTATGAACATAAAGCACATACCTATCTCTCTTAATGCTGAACTTTGTTGGAATTACTGAATTATGCCCTTTGTGTTTATAAAGAGAAATTAGAATTGCTGAATACAATCAATCAAAATACAGTGGAACCTCGGGTTGCGGATGTAATCCGTGATGGAGGCACGTCCACAACCCACACTGTTCGTAACCCGCAGCGCCGTGTCTGCGCATACGCGTGACACGATTTGGCGCTTCTGCGCATGCACGAGCGGCGGAACCCAGAAATAACCCTTTCCAGTACTTCCGGGTTTCCCGCGGTCCGCAACCTGAAGCATCTTTAACACGAGTTACCACTGTAACGATCTAGGTTTTTATTTCATTATTTTTCTGCATCACAGAAACCAGCATATTACATATTTGGGAGCAGATTAATGGGAAAATGCAGTTGGCATGATACAGAAAATGGCTGCACAATGGAAACAAACATTCTCTTCAACAAGAGGGACATGCACAACCTGTTAGTGCAAAAGTGTGTGAGATTCTGCATTCCATAAAACTCTTTGGCACAATGAAGACTCCTGCATAGCTCAAAGGTTGGGTACTCCTGTACCAACGGAAGAGACTCAATGAAAGCTGCCATCTTATTTTACATCTCGATACTGCCTCCCCCCCAAAAAATAATCACAGAGGGTGTAAAAAGGTGGAGATCAACTACTGCTCAATGTCCTAGCTAATCCTTTTTGCCATGAGTTCCCAAAAAGATTTAGGCGCCAAAGAAGCTCACTTTCTGCTCAAGGGCCTTCCGCTACAGTATTCTCTGCTCATTCTGCCAGAATTTAATCAACCATCTTGCGTCTTCTCTCTCTTTCTTGGGTCCATCATATTCATTATTTTTTCCAGACAAGTCTGTGCTTGCTGTTCTTGTCATGATTTTAACATTTGCTTATTGCATTGTAACTGTTGACATTAAAAAAAAAAAAAAAGACTTGGCCAGTTTTATGGAATAATAGCCTTAAATAATAACCTTAAAATAATAAAAAAGTAACAATCGGACCCTACCTCTGTCCAACATTTAAGAGTGCAGGCCAAGAGGAAGTGGAAGACTAGGAGCAGCAGCCTCAGAGAAGAATCAGAGAAGGCCAGAGATTGGCCAGAGACAGCTATGGCGAACAAAAGGAACAAGGAAAGAGAGAAGGAAAGTTTTCTCACAACATGAACTCCCCTCATCAGAAAAAGGCAGAGGGAAGAGTCAGGAAATAAACATGAAAGTGGCGTGACAGAGGAGACGGTGGCCCAAGTATAGAGTGGTACCTTTGTTCTCAAACGCCTTGGAACTCAAACAACTTGGACTACTCTACAACACTACAAGCCCAGAAGTAAGTGTTCCAGTTTGCGAACTTTTTCCAGAAGCCGAATGTGCTCCGTTTTGAGTGTTACACTTTTGATTTGAATGCCATGCTTCCATTAAGGTAAAGGTACCCCTGCCCGTACGGGCCAGTCGTGTCCGACTCTAGGGTTGCGTGCTCATCTCGCTCTAGAGGCCGTGAGCCGGCGCCGTCCGAAGACACTTCTGGGTCACGTGGCCAGCGTGACGAAGCTGCAGCTGGCGAGCCAGCACCAGCGCCGCACACGAAAACGGCGTTTACCTTCCTGCTATAAAGCGGTCCCTATTTATCTACTTGCACTTAAGAGTGCTTTCGAACTGCTAGGTGGGCAGGAGCTGGGACCGAACGACAGGAGCATACCCCGCCGCAGGGATTCGAACCGCCGACCATACGATCGGCAAGTCCTAGGCACTGAGGTTTTACCCACAGCGCCACCCGCCATGCTTCCATTGCCTCCCGCCAAAAGACAGGAGCTGGTTGATATTCTATGTCTTTTTAAATTTGTTTGTGGGAGAGGAGGTCATGGGTACACCCCCCCCCCCCTTTTCATTCTTGTTTTTATTATGTATTTTGTATTTTAATGCTGTGAACTGCCCTGAGATCTTTGGGTGCAGGGTGGTTTACAAATTTAATACAAATAAATAAATAAACTTGGGTCCCTAGCTGCTGTTGGACTACAACTCCCATCATCCCTGACCACTGTTCCTGCTAGCTAGGGGGTGATGGGAGTTGTAGTCCAACAACAGCTGGGGACCCAAATTCGTGAAACACTGATTTTTTAAAAGAGTACAGCATTACCTTTTAAAGAGAAATTTTCAAATTGGAAAAACCTGGGTTTACAAAGGGGTTTCTAAATCTGACATTTAATAAGGGCAGGCAAGCTTAAAAGCAGCTTGCCCAGCACTACTGATCTTCCCCTTTCCAGAGCACCCTTATAGTTCGTGGGGGGCAGGGAGAGAGCAGCAAAGAAGCCCAACAGACTTGGCTAGCGGTTTGCACAAATGGGCTATACATTAAAAAAAAAAAAAATCCCCCAAAGCCTTTTGCAACGCAATTGTATGATTTCACTATCAGGCAGGACAACGTGGAAAGGGCTCTATGTTGCAATAACAAGATAAATCACTGCAATAACAAGTCACAGGACTTCCCCTGACAAAACCTCGTGTGGTAGGTTAAGCTGAGAGATGGCGACTGATCTAAAAGTCTCCCAGTGAGCTTCATGACTGAGTAGGGATTTGAATCCTGGTTTCCCAAGTTCTAGCCCAACACTTCAACCACCGTGAAAACACTGGTTTCTCATACGGCACCAGCCACAGCGATTGTTAGCCCCTGAAATGCACTTCGCAAATTCTGAATGTATTTCTAACTTGTCCATTCTAAAGGCTTTTGTGATTAAATCACTGCGTGCTGCCTTCACTTACCAGTATGAATGCACATAGTAAGCAGGAGAAATACAGAATAAGATGCAAGGATGGCAACAATCAGCAGCAACACACTAGGACAGAAGAAACAAATGATCAAGGCCACACTTAATATATATATATATATATATATATATATATATATATATATATTTAATACATTGTGTTTTCCCAGAAACAAGCAGAGGAAATCGTTCTTTCCTCATTTTATGGTTCACATCGGCAGAATCTAATTCACGCCACGGTTGGTTACTCAATATTTTCCATGTTCTGCTTTTCTTTTGAATTTTCTGTGTCATTAAATTTGGACTTTTTTATATATGGGGGAAAGGCCAATTGTTGAACCATTTCACCATCTCTATGCTTTAGAACGTTCTAAAGAATGTTTCGGGTCACCCATTTAATTTGGTATTTGCCTGTTTGTTCATGGCAAATGACAAGAGCACCTCTCCTATGAGAATACAGCAATCGCACTCTGGCTGGGTGATCCACCACTATCACAAGACGAAGCTATTTAAACCTGGCACTGGCAATTTCCTGGTTTGCACACAATGCTAAACCACACATTGCTGAAGATGCAACAAATCACAACTTGCCCCGCCAATCTTTGGCTAGTTTTCCAGCTGCCCTTTCCTCATGCCTTTGTAGCTTGGTAAGACGTGGGTGGCACCGTGGGTTAAACCACAGAGCCTAGGACTTGCTGATCAGAAGGTCGGCAGTTCAAATCCCCACAACGGGGTGAGCTCCCGTTGCTCAGTCCCTGCTCCTGCCAACCTAGCAGTTTGAAAGCACGTCAAAGTACAAGTAGATAAATAGGTACCACTCCGGTGGGAAGGTAAACGGTGTTTCTGTGCGCTGCTCTGGTTCGCCAGAAGCGGCTTAGTCATGCTGGCTACATGACCCGAAAGCTGGACGCCTGCTCCCTCGGCCAATAAAGTGAGATGAGCGCCGCAACCCCAGAGTCAGTCACGACTGGACCTAATGGTCAGGGGTCCCTTTACCTTTACCTTAAGCACCCGGTGTGGGATGGCCAGCAAGTTTAAGGAAGGGTGCTGGGTTCACACACAATGCTGAGCTATCAACATCAAGCCATGGTTTGTAAGCTAAAAACAAACCATGGCTTCAGGCTGTGGTTTGTTGGCAGCAAGCAAACCATAATGAACTCACTGGGCAGCGTTCACACATGATGCCAAGCCACAGTTTGGTTGCCACGCCATGTTATGTGTGGACCAGTTCAATGTGAATCACCCCAGTTCGGGTTTCTGAGCCAGAAATAGTGAGGTATGGCTTGCAAATTTATTAACACATCACAAAAGATAACTGCACTATTTGTCAAATGGTGGTGGTCTGCTCCTGGTGCCACCCTACCTGAGGCACCCCACCAAGCACTGCTGTCGCCCAAACCTGGCATTTGAAGTGGTATTGTCCAATCTACCACCCCAGGATTCTGCAATTTCATACTGCCGCATGTATAGATCAAGCAGACAAGGGTGGCACACTGAGGAAAGTTGAGATTTTAGCACAATTGCATTCCCCTCCCCCATGTTATATGGCATTTTTGAAGCTTACTTTAACTTTTTTAGTATCACATAGTATATTTCTGACTATAAGGATTAATATACAGGATTTATATTAATTAATCTACAACTATAAGTGTTAATTTATAGCATTACAGGCAAACCTCAGATCCCGAACACCTCCGTTTTGGAACATTTCGGCTCCTGAACGTAGAAAACCCAGAAGTAAATGCTCCGGTTTTCTAACATTTTTCGGAAGCCAAACGTCCAACGCGGTTTCCGCTTGACTGCAAGAAGCTCTTGCAGCCAATCGGAAGCCGTGCCTCGGTTGTTGAACATTTTGGAAGCCAAAAGGGCTTCCAGAACGGATTACGTTTGACAACTGAGGTTTAACTATATAAAACTCTTACACACTACTTGAAAATATAGTACAATATAATATGAAATATAATTGACACACACAAAACTTACCTAAATCCAAGGATTCCCGTCTTGGCCATGGCATATGCCAATCCAAGTATCCCACTGCCCATGATAGCATTCATTAAATTAAATACCGAGAAGCCAAAGGAAGCCCCAGACGATGTCTGGTTCAAAAATGTCTGTAAATGACAGAACCAGATTGTTAACACTGTGAATTCTTCATCTGGGCAAAAACAATCACACAAGCCCAAAGGAAATGGGAGTGGAAAAGTAATTTAATTCATAGACAAAGACTCTGACTACCGCTGACAATCCACTCAGAAGTTTTATTACAATCAAGCAGTATATTTATTTATTTTATATTTATTATATTTTTATTTTATAAATTTCATAAAATTTATACACTGCTTGACTGGGGGGGGGCCTCAAAGAAGTTTACAAAAAGGTAAAACAGTAAAATAAAGAAAAAACTGCAACCACACCTAAAATCATACAAATGTTAAAATACTGTATTAAAACAGATTTTAAAAATTACCTCAACTTTTAAAACACCTGGGTAGGCTTGTCTAAACATGAATGTTTTAGCACTCACCGAAGAGAGCATATGCAGTTAGTTAGTTAGTTAGTTAGTTGGTTAAAGGTCTGAGTTTGAACATACAAAAAATTATTTAAAACCTAACAGTTACTAGAGATGAATCAGGGAAGACCAAATTCTAATAACTGTTAATCTAGCCAGTAAAGAGAAAAATGTCGTAATTTATTTGCTTTTTTAGATTTGACATGGCTAGAAGGGTGGAAATCTCAGCCTCATTAGGTTTTCTAACTCGATTTCTTTTTTAACCAAGTATTGTAAGTTTAGGGACTTCTTAGAGCCAGAACTTATGAAATACGTAATCAAAATGTGAGCTTTCCAACTTTATTTTTTTCCTTGGTCTCAAAAGTGGCAATAAAAACAGAAAATGAAGCCAGGTCATGCCTGCAAAAGACTGTACCAGAGCCAACACTGTTCCATCTACTAAAACTCAAACTTAATAACAGTACTGGTAGAGTTAGTGGATCTCTAGTCTAGCTGAATAGACTCCCACAGTCTATGGAGAGAGTCACTGATAGTTCTACAGTAGTGGCTTGTTGGGGAGGAATACTACGGTGCTTAGAGGATGGCTGTTGTTGCTTTTAGTTCATTTACTACATTACGATTTTGTCTATTTAAAAGGCATCCAGAACCTGTGAGACATAAGAGGTATACATGCTCTTTGGTTTGGGCTGCAATCCTAACCCCACTTACCTGAGAGTAAGCCCCACTGAATTCAACAAGACTTACTTTTGAGTAGAAACAGGGAGGGTTGCATTATTCTCTTTCCTCTCCCCAACACCAATGCAAGTATCTTTTCTATCCAACAGGGTCCCTGTGGAATTAATACCCAGTCCATAGATTTCTAGGAATGGAAGGACCATCTTTGGTGGGTCCAGATGGATTCCCAGGACCACCACTACAGATGTAGGAATAATGCTAAATTCTGGAACTATGAGATTGTGAGAAGTGGGATGGAACGAAACAAATGGGCAGAGATACCTGTTCTACAACGCTTTTTCTAAAGAATGTGCTGGACAATCTCATTTATAAGAGGCCTGTGTGCCATGACCTGTATATAATTTGGGGGGGGCGGGGGGAGAGACATTGTACTATGGGGCCTTCTGGGGACACAGGTGACTTCCAAAGGTTGCAAAAAGCATGCCCTGTGCGATGATGTTGGTGCTGTGAGGCTCTATGGAGATGCAATTGTGTTACAAATAACACCGGCGGCTTGGAAAAGTATGTGCGTCCATTCTGCAGGACTCTATGGGGCCGAGTCTTCAAACCCACGTGAGGAACTTCTGTGCCACCAAGCTGAATGACAGAGGGGTATGTGTCCATTCTGTGGCTTCTATGGGGTTGTGAAGTTCTATGAGAGGGCCCTATGATGTTTCAGGGGTGGCAGTGTATGCATTCAACAAGTCTTCCTAGGGTTGCAAAGTTTCATGGGTCTGTGCTGTGTGCTTCTACGGCACTAGGAAATGCCACTTTGCCCGTGGGGCTGTGAGCAAGGTGTGCTGGGAAGCTCATGGAGATGTGGAAATGCAACACAGGCCTGGGAGCGTCATCAGGGTAAATGATGTAGTCATACCTCGGGTTACAGATGCTTCAGATTCCATGTTTTCAGGTTGCACACCACGCCAAACCCGGAAGTACCGGAACAGGTTGCTTCCATGTTTCGGTGCTCGCACATGCGCAGAAGCGCTAAATAGCTCTTTGCGCATGTGCAGAAACGCTAAATAGCACTTTGCGCATGTGCAGAAATGCTAAATAGCACTTTGCGCATGCGCAAAAGCGCTGAATCGCAACTGTAGTCTGTCCACTTCCTATAGGTTTCAAGAGCAGCCAGGCAACATGGGGAATATCTTTTGAGTACAGGGCTAAATATCGTGGAATGAGGAGTACCATGAGTATATGTTATGGCGCGGTGCAAAGCGAGACGTAAGATGCTGAGCTGGGAAAATCTTTGTGCCCAATCTACGTGGCTTCCGATTTTGAAGACACAGGATGGGGTATCTTCAAAGAAGAAGTGGTTTCAAATCCTTACTCAGCCATGATGCCCAACTCAGCAATTTGGAGGTCACCCTCCCTCTCTTAGCCTAACGTACTTCACAGGGTTGTTGCCAGCATGAAGATAAATTCAACAGTGTAAACAAGTTTTCATGGTCCTGATAATGGAATACTCAATGATTTAGTTTATATAAAATATGTAGGGGTTTGCGCTGCGCAATATGAACCATGGAAAGAGAAGAAGGGAAGTCACTGATATCTTAAGGTTGTTTAAATGAGTATTCTAAATCGTAAAACAGAAAATTTAATAAAAATTATGGGGGGCGGGGGAAACCAATAATACGAATAGCACTGATTTAGAACTGCAAGGACTTGGCAGTCATTAATGATTCCTATGGCAATTTCATACACGTTTTACTTACCAAGCCAAACCAAACTGGGAAACCCAGCCAGATGGGCGGGGTATAAATAAATTATTATTATTATTATTATTATTATTATTACTATTATCGAAATATCTTTTGAATCCCCAAGCCATGTTACAATTTCTTCTTCTTTTTAGCACCCCTCACTGTGAGGGGATTTGAAAGCGGGAAGCGCCAACCCGCCCTGCTCTGTGGGGCTGAGCTAGGAGCCGCCCTACAACCCGGCGGAGCCCGGCCCCACCGCCTCCCCTCTCGCCCCCCACCGCCCCAGCCCCACACACACCCTGCCCGGGGGCGGCGGCAGGAGCGGCGCTCCGTCCTCCAGCTCCTGCGCCGACAAGTACCATCCCCGCGGCTCGCAGTTGACGCTGCCGACGAGCCGCGGCTCCTCCATGGCGCCGAAGGGAGCGGAGAAGTCCCGAGAGCGGCGGGAGGCCGACCGAAGCCCCGTCCTCGGGGCCGGGGAGGAGCCGGCGGGCGCTGAGAGGAAACAGGGCGGGGCGCGCTACTCGAGGGCGGCGCTTGGGCGGGGAGGCTGGGCCTCGGCGAGCTGAGGGGAAATGCGGCGCGGCGAGAGGCCGGCATGAGGTGAGGCGCCCCGTTTAAAAAAAATGAGGGGCTGGGGGCTCCCCGCCGCTTCCAACAGGGGCTGGGCGGGTGTGGGGAGCCGTTATGGGCTTGGTTTTAATGCTTGACTTTTTATTGTTTTTATGGAGGCCGCTGCGGAAATCCAGCCGGATGGACGGGGTATAAATATTAATTTTATTTCTTCCTTCCCTCGTCTGACTAGGCGAATGCACTCTGCGCGCGCTCAGAGGCACGCGTCCCTGCAGCGTGGAGGAAGAAGGGCCCTTCTTCTTGTAGGCCAACTAGGCCTCGGCCTCAGCTCCGCGCAGCAACCGCAGGGCGAGAACACCCCTAGCAGGCCTGCCTTAATCTCATCGCCTGTTGCAGGGTTTCCCCAAACTGGGGTTGTGTTTTTTGTTTGGACTACCATTCCCATCGTCCCTGGCTTACTGGTCCTGCTGGCTAAGGATGATGGGAGTTGTAGTCCAAAAAACCAACAAGATGCTGGAGCCTCAAGTTTGGGAAACCCTGATCTGCGGTGTAGTGAAGAGGCGTCGGGATACAGTGGTGCCTCGCAAGACGAAATTAATTCGTTCTGCGAGTTTTTTCGTCTTGCGAAGCATGGTTTCAATTTTTTCAAAAAAATCTTCAAAAACCTCAAAAAAGGCTACCACACCACGTGCTATGAGTTGCTCCCCGAAGTCAAGTCGCAACTGCACTTCTTCAAGCAGTGCACCCTGTATTACTGTAACGGTTTTAAGAAAAAGGAAACAAACTTGCAAGACGTTTCCGTCTTGCGAAGCAAGCCCATAGGGAAATTTGTCTCGCGAAGCAACTCAAAAAACGAAAAACTCTTTCGTCTTGCGAGGCATTCGTCTTGCGAGGTACCACTGTATCTTTTAGACTTTAGAGCACTGGTTATGGTTGCAAAGATATACTAATGACACACATTCATAGATTCGCAGAGTTGGGAGGGACCCCGAGGGACATCTAGCCCAACCCCCAGCAATGCAGGAATCTCAACTAGATTATCCGTGACAGATGCCCTGCCTGAGCTCTGTTTGAAAACTTCCAAGGAAGGAGATGCCCTGAGGGAGCTCTTACCGTCAGAAAGTTCTTCCTAATGTTTAGTCAGAATCTCATTTATTTTAACTTGAAACTGTTGGTTCAGGTCCTAGCCTCCAGAACAGTTGTCACTATTATTATTTATTAAATGTGTTTTGTCACTTTATCTCGCCCAAGGCAACCTAAATTGACTTTGGTTGTTATGTTCCCCCATTTAATAGGTCCTTGTTTTGGTTTTGGTTTCTGCTTTTTCCTCTTTTTATTACACACTCTTTTTTGCATGAGAAGCAAAGATATTTTTTAATTATTATTATTATTACCCCACCCATCTGACTGGATTGCACATTATGGTGTATAATGGTTTTTGCTACATATTGTCAAAATATAATATTAATACAAAAAAATTAAACATTGGTTGAAGATCCCAAACCAGGGAGAAGCCCAGCGACCTTCTAGGCTGAATTGGCTGCATTGCCATAACTTGCTATTGCTCTCAAGGTATTTCATGTAATGTTCAGGCAAAAAGATATTATCCTTCTGCAACTTAAGGTAAGAAGAAAAGAAGAGCCCTTCTGGATCAGGCCAAAGGCCCATCTAGGTCCAGCATCCCTGTTAAAAAAAAAAAAAAAAAAAAAAAAAAGCCAACCAGATGCCTGTGAAAAGCCAGAATGGAGGACCTGAGTAAAACAACACACTCCCCACCTGACATTGTCAGCAACTAGTGTTCAGAATCATACTGTCTTCGATCCTGAAGGAAAATTAATATTATTATTATTATTATTAATAATAATATATTGCTTATAACCCTATGGGTGGCTTCCAACAGAATAAAAATAAACAGAATACAGTGGTACCTCGGTTCTCAAACGGCTTAGTTGTCAAACAAATCGGCTCCTGAACACCGCAAACCCGGAACTAAGTGTTCTGGTTTGTGAATGTTTTTCAGAAGCCGAACATCCAACACAGTTTCCACTTGAGTGCAGGAAGCTCTTGCAGCCGATCAGAGGTCACGCCTTGGTTTTTGAATGGTTTTGGGAGTTGAATGGACTCCTGGAATGGATTAACTTCTAGAACCAAGGTACCACTGTAGTAATAAAAACAGCGAAACATCAGACATAAAAAGCTTACTGATACAAGGCTGCCTTCAAAATATAGCCATATTGGGAACTATAGTTTATCCTCTACCCCCCCCCCCCCCGCTACAATATGCAGCACCCTTAACAAACTATGGCTCCCATAATTCTTTGGGAGGAAGCCGTGATGGTTGAAGTGGTATAATGTCTTTTAAATCTATGGTGTGCATGTGACCCAAGTTCTTTGCCTTCTCCTATATGGCCATCTTTTGAAGAGTGCTAGCCCATTCTCTCTCAGTCTTCTCATCTCCAGGCTAAACATACCTAATAGTTTCCATTTTTCCTCACATCACTTGTTTTTCTATGCCTGATCTTCTCTTAGGAGTTTGTTTACTTAAAATACCCGTCTACCCCATTTCATTTCCCAAGGAGATATCAGCGACAGAACCGTTGTGTGTGTGGGAAAACAATCTCCAAATTAAACCCAAATCACACAATCAAAATATTTCATAGAATTGCCATACAATGAAATATAATATATTTAAAAAGAAACAGAAAAACAATTAAAATCAATGTGAATATTTAAAGCAATGGACGTGCCTCATTTTCAACCACAAATCCATAGACATTCTGTGGGCTACCTGCATGAAGTTCACAAACTAGTTTGAGAACTCTTAAGGGAGGCCTAGTGTAGGAAGTGAATGTATATACACATCTGAATGTTGCAGGATATGGACACAGTAGATATGGCTTTTGCCTTTCCACCCTATCTATGGGCATCTCAAAAACATCTGGTTGGCCACTGTGTGATAAGGGATGTGTCGTTTTGGACAGATACAGGAGGGCTCTTCTCGTGTTCTTTAAATCAAGTTTTGATTTAAAAAGAAACTCGGTGAAACACAAAGCTATTTGGAAGTTTTATATTCTAACCATCCAGAAAGCCTAGTGCCCAAATTAAAGATCCCTGTGTTTGTGACCAGAGGCACCTTCTTACTTTACTTGGTACAAGGATAAGGCTGACGGTTCTTAGGATGTGGTTATTCAACTGCTGAGGGAAAGATCCTCTGCACATGTTTAGTGAGGCCTTCACCTGTTATGGCATACATTTCAGGGCCAGGGCTGCAGTCCTAACTTCAGTTATTTGGGAATAACTGATTTCAATAGGGCTTACTTTTGATTAGACACAGTTAGGATTGCACTCTGCCATTGACAACAGGGCTAAAATCTCGGGTACCAGATTTGCTCCACAGGCTGCAGGAACCCCTATAAGAGTTGTAGGCGGCATATGGGGGGAAACAGGAGGAGATGGGGAGAATATTCTGTTGCACAAGCAGGAATCCTTGTGCTTAGGAAAGTTCACATAGCACTACTTTGGATACAAGCCCAAAACTCCTTCCTCTGCCAAGCTTCTAATTCGTTGCTGCATCAGTGTTATCTTTGGGTTATGTAGGACAGTTTCGAATAATCTCATACAAGTGCTAGTGATTTTATGAGAACTGTACAGACATGTGGATTTGTAGCATCCCCCCCCCCTATTTTTTTATTGAATGCTTACATAATGTCTATAAAGTGAATGATTTCCCTTCTAGGATTTTCAGGCGATTAAACAGCTTGCCTGCTAGCCTCCTGAAAGTGAAATATTTTGGAACAACTGCCTCAAATACATCATTTCCAGCAGTCTGGACGTTTTGCGGTCAGCCTCTTAATAGACTTCCTGGACATCTTGCAGCCGCTTGTAGAAATAGTTTGTGCACTATGCCGGAGGTACCTGAACAAAAATTTGACCTTGACCTGCATTCACCACATCCCAGGGTCCGTGGAATGACCACCCTTGACCGAGCTGCTTTCAAAAGGAATGTTGTCATCCCAGCTCTGAAGGTTAACAAAGACCTCCTGAGCAAGCTGGAGAAGCCTCTCAAACGAGTGCTGTTGAAGCGCCCAGGTCTCAAGAGAGTTGTTGAAGACCCAGAAGATGAAAGCAGAAAGTTTCTTTTGTTAGATCCTCATGCCATATCCGACAGCTGTTCCCTGGGCGAATCTGAGCAACAGATCCTGAAGAGCTTTAACATTAGCCCTGAGATTGTCAAGTATAACCAGGAACTGACATACGACCATTTCAAGGTGGACGAAATTCTGCAAGCAGTGCTTCCTGAAGGTCAGGAAGTGACCACTGCATTCAGCAGAATTGGCCACATCATTCACTTGAATCTGAGGGACCATCAGCTGCCCTACAAACACGTAATTGGTAGGTTAAGACTTACATCAGAGAAGTCTTGTTTGGTTATTTCCAAAGAAATGACTGAGCAGTTTCTTTCTGAAGCAGGGTTAAGTATGTCTGAAGTATGTATTTAAATGTACTTTAAATACATGGTGTGGATATGACTAGATCTAAGCTATAATGTCGCAAAAATTCTGGAGAGACAAAAGTGATCTTTCCCATTCGTAAAGGCCTACTGATAACTCATTAATGGCTAGAGGAGGGCAAGCATTGTGCCACATTCCTTGGCAAGGGCAATCAGCATTTCTTCACTAAAAAATTTAAGCAACAGCCTAATGGAAATGGAGGGGGGTTTATTTTATATGTTCTTTATGAGTCTGTATCATAGACGTTTAAATCACATGCCTGCTTTTTTGAAAAGCAAATTTCACAGCCCGTTTCTCTGCCTTTCAGGTCAAGTTATCCTTGACAAGAATCCAGGAATCACCTGCACTGTAAATAAAACCAATACCATAGATAATGCTTATCGGAATTTTCAAATGGAGGTATTAGCCGGAGAGGAGGCCAATATGATCACAAAGGTACCAGGAATTTTTAATAATATTTTCTTGCAACAAAAAAAGGGGGGGATTAAAAATCTAACATTGAGAAAGCAGACAAGCAAAGAGCAGACATTGCAGAAAGATACAGTCTGACATATTAATTCTTTATTCCTCTCTGTTCCATAGACTTGGCAGTCTCTGTGTGTTCCCAGATGTCCAAGTCTAGCCTAAATGAAATCACAATTGTTCATAAGACTTTGGTAGGAAGAACGTAGCTTAGTGGTGGTCAAATGTATAGACGTATATTAATTTTTTAAAAACCACATAATCAAAGATGCTAATGAACTCTTGAATTTTAGAACCAGTTCAGAAACCAGGTGCTGATTTTGCTTCTTTGGGAAAACATTGTCTTCCTTGTGCATTAGTTTGAAGAAACTGTGGGTGGCATTCAACTAAATCATTGTCCAATTGCACATCAAGACCGGCTTCCATGCAGTCCCCAAATCTGTTCTAGAGAATTGGGGAGGAAACCCAGAACAGATTTAGGACTTATGATATGTCTTCTACTTGGGATCTGACTGCTGATTAGAAAAGGCAAACATACAGCACCATTTCTGAATGGTACCCACATGTATCACAGCTTTCACCCATGGAGTACACTTGGCTAGAGGCATGATCATTTCTCAGTCACTGATAGTAGGTTTTGCATATGCAAAAGATATTTGATGGGATAGATCTTGATGTCATTCATAGAAGGTGATGCACATATATGTATTTTATCTTCAAAAGCATCTCATGACTACAAAATAAAATGTGTGAGGCATCCTTTACTAGGGAATTCTGGAAGAGAGAGATTCTAGCCTGCTAGCGATCATGCCAATATTTTGAACTCTTGCAGGTTAAGGAGCACCATATCATGTACGAATTTGATTTCTCCAAAGTCTACTGGAACCCCCGCCTCTGCACAGAACACATGCGCATCGTCGGCCTCCTCAAACCAGGTGACCTTCTCTTTGATGTCTTCGCCGGGGTGGGGCCTTTTGCGATTCCTGCAGCGAAGAAGGGCTGCATTGTGTTTGCAAACGACCTCAACCCTGACTCGTACAAGTGGCTGCAGCACAACTGTAAGCTAAACAAAGTGGACAGAAAAGTCAAGGTCTTCAACATGGATGGCAGGCAGTTCCTGGAGGAGCCGGTGAAGGAAGAACTGACCAGACAGCTTTCTTTGAAGGAGCGGAACAGCTGCCTGCACATCGTCATGAACTTGCCAGCCATGGCAGTTGAATTCTTGGATGTCTTCAGGCACCTCTTGGATGGAGAGCCGGGCAGCACCAGTCTTCCCACCGTGCACTGCTACTGCTTTTCCAAGCACGACAACCCTGCGCAAGATGTTCAGGAGAGAGTCGAAGCCTGCTTGGGAATCTCCTTAGAGGGCCTTTGCTCTGTGGAGCTGGTGAGGAACGTAGCGCCCAATAAGGACATGATGTGCATCAGCTTCAGCCTCCCATCCAAGGTGTTGTACAAGCCGCTGTCTTCTCTGAAAGGTAAGAGAGTCAAAGAAAGAGGCAGGACTACTGCAAGCTTTTAGGGTCCCCTGTGAATCCTTTGCCTCAGATCGGACATTGAAATGGGGATTAGGGCTGGGCGATACCTGGTTTTCAACATTGTGATATATCACCAGTTAAACACTGTGATATAACAGTATATCACGATGTCTGAAATAAGGATGGAGATATGCAGAAGCATTGGCTGGCTTCACAGTTTTTCCTGCATCGTGGTTTTTGCTGGCGCCTGTGTTTGTGATCGCTGCACCCTGCAGGAGGCAGAGGAGAGCTGAGCAGGCAGAGTTAACAGGGCTGCAGGAATCAAAAACAGCATTGGCTGGCTTCACGACATGGACTTCAAACCGGTTTTTGATGATAAATCGATATATCGCCCAGCCCTAATGGTGGCCCTTAATCTGCATAGGAGGACGAGGGGGAATGTATTTCTAGGGAGGAAAAAGCATAAAGGTCACAAATAAATAGTGTGTTACAGGCGCACATGCAACTGTTTCGTTGCTGTGCATGCATAGGGAAGCTGCAGCCAGTCCTGGTTTCTCAGCACATGAATACATAGGGAAACAAATGTGTGTGTATGCACGCATGACCTATGTGCAGTTTTCCCTGTGGGAAGTTCACAACCTGTGATGCGGCTGCATGTCTTGGGGCAAGTTGCAAGTGTGTTGTCAGTGCCTCGGATGCTTAGTAAAATCCTTTTGCTTTGTTCCTGCTCAAGTTTTGTGCTGCAGACGACCCCAAATCCTAAGAGCTTTGGAGGTGTGCATTGAGGTGTCACCGATGGTCGCTTTCCAACTGCAAGCCCTTTGCCTCCCATTGAGTTCTGCTACTGCAGAGGGTTCCTGAGCTTCGGCAGCAGCAAGAAAGGCTGTGGTGGGAATGGAGGCAGAGCTACAATTCCTCTACATCCTGTCCCAGGGTCCCTTTATTGTATCTCACCTACCCCTCCTGTCTCCACAGCCGCTTTATGTGAGACAAGTTTGAAAGTGTGGTTTTAATTTTGCTCCCTGGTTCCTGCTCCCCCCCTCCAGCTTCCTTTTTTTTAGGACCCTTCCCCACCTCCAGGCAACCTCTTGACTGTGCTGCCTACATCATCACACAGCCTGCTGTCGCTGTAACATGTGTATCCACTGCCACACACAGAACCAGGCTGCTTTTAATGCCACATCAAACCCACTTTCAGACGTGTTTTGTGATGCCAACAAAACTGCCCAGCCACAGGCAGGCCACTGGCACTTGCATGAAAGTCAGGGGGCTGCTGTGTGGCAAGGGACTGGGAGAAAAACTTAAGGGTCTCCCCCTAAACTGCTAGAAATCCACACATGCCTCCAGATCCATATTGATTCAGATAGTCTGTCATCTTTTACTTGTAGGTGCAGATAATCCCCAGGAACCAGCATCTAAACGCCTGCGTCCAAATGAAGAGCCCCTTGAAGAAAAAAATAACCTGATGGTCTAGGAGACTTTGTGGGTACCATTCCAGAAATGATGTCTATGCAGAACTTTTAACTCCCATCTTTCAAGGGAGGCAAGCGGATTGCATTTGTTCATCAGAACTTGTAAGGACAGCCTCTGAAAAATGGTATTAACAGCTGCTGTGCTGATTATGCCCTGATCATCTTTGCTTCTTTTTAATTCTGTAACAGTTGGATGGGGTACATTTTTTTATATTAAAAAAAAGAATATTAAATGTTTATTTTGCCACACTTGGTAGCATCTTCTGTTTAGGTTGCGTGCAGTCATTCCCCAGCCAATGAGAAACTGAGGTGAGAGGTTAAAGGAACCAGGTGAAACAGTCTGTGTCTTTGGTAGCCTTGAAACAACACCTGTTCCTGCCCCTGGGCTGCTTCGGGAGGAAAGGCAGGGTCTAAATTGAATAAACAGATGAACATGTTTTTAGACTGACCACCTCCTGCGCAGGTTCTCTTATGAGGTGGCGACAGCAGCAGGTCGGTCAAGGGAGCATCAGGAATTGGCAGTGGGCTCCCAGCTGGGATACAGACTACAGAAAGAGTGCAGCTAAAGCTGACTCCAAATTCCAGCCCTGCCCATGTTTGAATCATGACAGAAACACATTCTGGGTCTACTTCTGCAACCCAGACCTACCCAAGCCAACTGGTTCTCTCTGCAACACACACACAGTGTGGAAGTGCTGCTGTAAGCCTTTAAAGCCCTCTAATGACCCAGAACCAGATTTTTTAAAGGACCACCTTGAACTATATGAACCTGCCTGGGTCTTCAGCTTGGCATCAGAGGACCTGCTCTTTAGCCTGTTGTTAGCAGATATTTGATAGCTGGGTACTAGCAACAGAGCCTGGTTGACAGTGGCACTATAACACTGGAATTTTCTCTGGGGAATTTATCCAAATCTTTCCCATCTTTAGATAGATGCTGAAAGTATCTCTCTCTCCCCACCCCCTTTTTATTTTGTTTCAGAGAGCACTGTGAAATTATTTTTAAATGTTGATATTAATGCTGCTGTGCTTTATATTTTAAATATAGTTATTTTTATTAGTGAATTTTATTTTTGAGCAAGCCACTTTTGAGGTTTTTGTGGGGAGAAAGCAGGCTGTAAAAGTCATTTAAATAAATAAACAACATCATCCCAAATTATAATCAGCAGTCATTCTGAACACAGTGCTTATCTACACCAGTCTGTCTTGCCTGAGAAATGTCCAGAGGCACATTTAGGTGCTGCCTGCACTGCTGTCCAAAGTAACTCATTGTCATCATTAAATTTATTTATTTATTTCATTCATTTATTTATTTTATATTTTCATCAATTTCAAAGCAATGTACAAGATAATAAAACCAATCAAGCAGCTGCTTTGCTGTTTGTGAAGAAGCAAGAACTTTCCAAACAGGCCTTGGAGTGGCTGAGTTGCAATTTATTGTATTCCCTGGGAGAAAAGAACAACTGGTACAATTATGAGGTTATGATGCAAGCTGCAGACTCTGAATAGCTTTTCTGTTCTGCTGAGAGGAAAGGGAGAGAATCTTTTCGATGCTTGTCCTTCTGACACTATGCATCATTCCACTGAATTAAAATTAGCATATTTAGTGGTATGGGGTTGTGGCTAAGAGACTGGGTTGCAAATCCGGAAGTTGCAACCGCCATGAATTCAGGCATTGGGCTTAGATACGAAGCACTTGCAACTCTCCAAAGTACTGTCTAAATCAGTGGTTCTCAAAAGGTGTGGTGCGGCACACTGGTATGACAGGGGAGGAAGGCAGGTATGCAGGAAGATTCAAGGACAAACATTTAAACATTTCAGCATAGCATAGTATAATACAGTATCAAAATATTTTTTTTATTTGAAGAATATGGATAGATATATTTTCAAAATGAGAGCAAGGGTATCAAGTGATAGTGATGACAATCCTAGTTGTGTTTTCCAACGTACTCGTATGCTGCTAAGGCCACAGCATTATGGTGACAAAGGAGCTGCCCTGTCCTATCCTGTCTGTTCCTCTGTGGCTTGCATGCCCCCACTACTGTTCTGTCGTCATATAGGCAATATATCAACTGCAGCATGATGGCACCCTTGCAATTTTATTCTACAGCAGGAAAGATGAGACGTTCTTAATAGAGCTGCTGCATTCTGTGGCACAATCATTCTAACTTACATAATTCAGAATGCAAAGTAGAATGAATTAGAAATCAGTCCCATATCCGGTTCTTGTATCGTACTTCAAGGAAGGAAACCCCCATTTGCTTGCATTAGGAGAAGCCAATTTTATGAGATGAAAGAACTTTGCCCTTACTGCAGAGCTACAATATATAAAAGTAGCATTTCAGTGCTTGTGCAAATAAAACCCTGAAGTGCAGCGGCAGAATCTGCAGAATTTAATCACAACAATCATAGAGTTGGAGGAGACCACAAGGGCCATCGAGTCCAACCCCCTGCCAAGCAGGAAACACCATCAGAGCACTCCTGAAATATGGTTGTCAAGCCTCTGCTTAAAGACCTCCAAAGAAGGAGACTCCACCACACTCCTTGGCAGCAAACTCCACTGTCGAACAGCTCTTGCTGTCAGGAAGTTCTTCCTAATGTTTAGGTGGAATCTTCTTGTAGTTTGGACCCATTGCTCCATGTCCGCTTCTCTGGAGCAGCAGAAAACAACCTTTCTCCCTCCTCTATGTGACATCCTTTTATATATTTGAACATGGCTATCATATCACCCCTTAACCTCCTCTTCTCCAGGCTAAACATGCCCAGCTCCCTTAATCTCTGATGGTGTTTCCTGCTTGGCAGGGGGTTGGACTCGATGGCCCTTGTGGTCTCTTCCAACTCTATGATTCTATGAATCTGACTTTATTTTAAAAATCTTTTACAAGTCTGGTTCTGAAACCTCAAAACATACAAAACAAAATCATTATCTCTTCCAATAGCCTCTAGCTGCAAAGTGACTAGAACGTTTCCCACCCTTACCCTCATTCCACCAGAGAAGAAGAAACATGACCACCATTTTAAAAAGAAAGTTTCTGTACATCATGTTTTTAATATTTAAGTGCAGCTGGCTTCACACACAAAAAAGGAAGGAAAGACAGACGGCAGCCCGGCCAGGGTGCAGACGGCAGCAATTTTCACCTGAGGTTTTTTGCTTTGCTCGCTCCGCTCCAGTGTCTGTTACTCCCAACCTAGCCAGGATGCCAAAATAGCCCACTGAAGGCATCTTGAAGGGCTCGATGACAGGCAAGGGAGGAAGTATAGCCACCAGCGAGATCTTGTGGGGAGGCGGCTCGGACGTGGTTTAGATACCTAGAACAAAGAAAGGCATTGTCTGAGCTGAGAAACAAGCATTTCATGCTCCGGGATGGGAATTGAAAGAAAAGCCAATTTCTCTGGTTCCCACCGCTGGATACAGTGCCACAGACACTGGACACTTCTCAAAACCTCGGAAACGGAAACAGCAGAGACCAAATCTGATTTAACTCTCCTTGCTGGATTAATCATTCCCATAATTAGAGAGGTTGAACGGATTCGGTGCCTCACCTGGTTCAACCACCTCCTGCCCGGAGTCAGGATGCCCAGTACCAAAAACTTCAACAGATGCCTGCCCAACATTTTCTCGCATATCCAGGAAAGGAGATGGAAAGTTTAAGCTGCTCCCAAATCACTCCCATCAATACAACATTCATATGAATGTGATTGAAATGGTTTCAAAGCTGCTACGCAGGAAAGAGCCCAACAACATAAAATCTATTCATCTGTTGTGTAGCTCAGCTTTGGGAAATCTTTAAAGCACTCGCTGTGGTTGTAAAGGGATACTAATGACACACAGAGCTTACAGAATCCTAGATTTGCAGAATTGGAAGGGCACCTGAGGTTAATCTAGTCCACCTATTGGTGAGTAAATGGCAAGAGGTAGACATCCACCCCACTGGGGATCTCACATCGCCTCTGTCCAACATTTACAACTGGTGGGTCCAATCTGTTTATTTCTCCTCTTTAACCAATAGCATGGCTCTCATATTAACATTGCACAGATACTATTGCTCAGTAACGCTGTCACCCCATAAATACAGCCTGAGCCTTGATGAGCAGCTGGTTTTGTTACTATCTTTTCAAAGGGATGATGTTTTGAATCGAGCAACACCTGAAGGGTCACCTCTGACTCACTCCCATACCAGCTGAGACAGAGGCAAAGGGATCTTGGCCACCTTCCCGCTCTGCTTTGGCGCAGCAGTGCCCTTACGATGCACCATGGATGCCCGTACCCAAGGGTTCCTCTGTGTGGGAATCAGTAGAGGAGAACCTGGCCAAGGCCTCAGCTGCTGTTTTATGCCAGGAAGGAAATAATTAGAGGAGCCCTTTTGGGGTGGGGAGCCTGTAGCCCTCCAGGTGTAGCTGGACTACAACTCCCATCATCCTTGACCACTGGCCACATTGACTGAGGCTGGTGGGAGTCAAAGTCCAACCACTTCTAGAGGACCACAATTTAAGGAGGATATTGGTAACTCGGAACAGGTAAAGAAGAAGGCAACCAAGATGATCAAGGTTCTGGAAACCAAGCCCTAGGAGGAAAGTTGAAGAAGATGGGGGTGTTTAATCTGGAAAAGAGGAGACTGAGAGGAGATAGGACAGCCATCTTCAAATATCTTAAGGGCTGTCCCATGGAGGATGCAGCAAGCTTGTTTTCTCCTGCTCTGGAGGGTAGGACTCGAACCCATGACTTCAATTCACAAGAAAGGAGATTCCAACTAACCATCAGGAAAAACTTTCCAACGGTAAGAGCAGTTTGATGGTGGAAGAGACTCCCTTGGGAGGTGATGGACTCTCCATAATTGGAGGTTTTAAAGCAGAGGTTGGATGGCTACCTGTCAAGGATGTTTTAGTTGAGATTCCTGTCTTGCAGGGGGGTTGGACTAGATAACCCTCAGGGTCCCTTCCAGCTCTATAATTCTATATTTCCACGCTCCACCCAATGTCTGAGTTTGGGAGAAGGTGGCTGGAAGTTAATGAACAGAGGTGAGGGAGTTAATTGGAGGCCAGATGGGAAGCCCATGGAAGACGTGACTCCCTCCCTCTCCCTGTTCTCTGGCTGTCAGTTGCTTATCTCTATCGTAAGGTGTTATCCTGTCATAAGTGGGCAGCTGATTGTCTCAGCCCTTCACAGGCACCAGAATCCCAAATGAAAACCAGCTTTCGCAGCTCCACCTCAAACCAGCAAGATTACGACTCGCTGTTTTGGTTTCGCCCCATCTTGGTCCAACTTGCTCCTGGGAAGGTAGAGTCATTCCATCTCTCCACTTGGCAGCTCAAGCATAAACTTGCAACCCACCCACAGATTCTCTCGTACGCTTCCCCGAGAAACCTGAAACAGCTGCAGCGCTGGCTGGGGAGAGAACATGGGACCACCAGTAAAACAGGCCAAGCAGTTGCATCTTCTAATTTACAGCTAGTTTCCGTGAAGGGTGCTTAAACGAAGCCTGCTTTTACAGGGCAGATGTCATAAGCAGGAAGATCCCAGCAATGCTGTAAAAGCGTTAAAGAAAAAAAGGTCTGTCCACTGACTTTAGACATAAGCTTACATACACATTCAATGTTCAAACCTATTATTTAACCTCTCCACTGAGAAAATTGAGTGGTTGGTATAACAAAGTCTTGATTTCGATCGTTCGCACAAATGTGCCGCTGGATAAGTGTTTAATGGTTCTTGTATTTGTTTCAAAACCAATAAATTTTTGTTTCTTTGTTTTTTTAAGGTGGGGGGCTTTAAAGGATGAATTGATTAATTACAGTTTTCCAAAAGTCTGTGTCTTGCACCTAATAAACAGAACAGGCAGACGCGAGCACTATTTCTAACCTGGTTATTTTTGTGAAGATGCTACGTAGACAGAACGGAGAGGGCGAACGCCCAAGGTCAGTTCTGCTGCAGTGTCTCGGCGGAAGAGGCAGAAGGGGGTCGTGCCCCTAAACTTGCCGAGGCACCCAGAGACCTCTGCGCTTCCTTCCAAGGAAAAGGAAACTCGTCACTCCCCTGGAGTACTAAATCTGCCCACAAAGAAATGCTAAGGGGATCACAAGGCACAGCATCCTAATCCCAAATGGAAGAAAGTGACCTGTGATTACTCGCTGGTAGGCGTGCCAATTCCGTCAGAAAGGGAGACTGGAGCGGAAATGGCCACAAAGCACAAGTTCATCAGAGATCAGGAACGGAAGTCACACAAGCGAATCCCAGCGGTATTCACGATTGCTTTTTTTTTAGTCCACAAGTGTCGTGCAAATGATTATTTTCTTCAATCACTCCAACAGGATAAAACCTTTCTCAGTTTTGCAGGGCCCTCAAAATCCAATCTCCAGCAGTGCCTCCAAACACAAAAAGGTGTTGTTTGGCCAGCAGCCATCAAGAAACGGATTCTCTGTTAATTTATCAAATCCTTTCCGACAGCCGTCTGAGTAAGAGGGCAGCCCCGGATCTGGAAGCGGCAAACTCCCCCAGTTAATAACATATGATGAGGGTCAAATGTATGCTGGAAATGTAAGGAAAAAGAAGGCACCTTTTATCATATGTGGTGGAAATGTAAGGTAGTAAAAGAATTTTGGGGAATGATATATAATGAGTTGAAAAAAATGTTTAAAATAACCTTTACTTTAAAAAACCCGAAGCCTTCCTTTTAGGAATTCTAGGTGCCGAAATCCCAAGGGAGCAGAAAAGACTATTTATGTATGCGACCATGGCTGCGCAGATGTTATTGGCCCAGAGATGGAAAGAAGATAAAGTCCCTGCCAGGGAAGAATGGCAGATGAAGTTGATGGATTATCCTAAAATGGCTAAAAACCGGAAGAATCAGAAATCAGGAAGACCAAAATTTGAATAAGAAATGGGGAAAATTTATAACTTATCTTAAAAATCATTGTAAACAGTTAAATCGTTAGGAGGATTAGAATAACACTTGTAATTTAATGGTGAATTTTGGATATAATGGAGAGATAAAAGATTTGGAGTATTATAAAAGATGCAGGAGGAAATGATTAAAAATAGGACCCACAAAGGGGAGGAAGGAAGTCCAGGAGATTCTCTGCAATTTTGTTTCTATGTTGTACGTTGGATATGTGACTGTAAAATTCTAATCTGGAAACCAAATAAATAAATTTATATAAAAATAACAACACTTGATGAATAGGGCAAAAGCAGCAATGAAGGGCAGTCAAGCCATTCCTCCACTCAACTGCCCCACCAGCCTTTGGGCATCTCTCAGGGGTGCTTCAAAAATCTGCTTCCTCACATGCAAGACTCTGTACATGGGAGGCAAAAACATATCTCCACCCCTTAAATATTAAATTTGCATTCCTGATAGCCCAGGAAACATTTTATCCTTTCCTTTGGTTTCTCTGGGAAGAAAAGAAAAAACCCAAAGGCGTCCTGCTTCAAATGGCAAAGAAATTGGTTTTGGCACATTTCTTAAAACACCCCAACAGAAAATCGAGTTTGCTGGCAGGCATCTTGAATTGCTCAAGATGTGCGAATTGTGAATATTTGTTTTGAGCAGCCAAGTAGGAGGTTTAATCCAATATTTATACGTTGGAATAAGTGAAGTGCTGCCTAGAAACAAATGGCAGCCGTCTGCTGCAAACTGGGGACCAATCTTGGGGGGCCTCTTCAGCCATGGTTTTACCAGTCCAGGACTGGTGGGGAAGGCACCCTTAGTCTCAGTGGGTCCCATTCATCTGTGACTAGGTAGTTGACAGCTCGAAGGACTGGGGA